TACCTTCTATCGTTCTAATATACGTAATGCGACCGCGCGAGTAGGAGAGTCGTCGGTAGAAGGTAGAACGATAGAAGGTACGTCATTCACTCTAATTCCAACAAAAATGCAATTATGGCATGCGCTTTATACTAGAGAAATAATTTTTCATTGTATCTGTATTTTCAGGTATTGAAATAAAATGACTGGACACCCTTGTACAGCATGCGGTTTGATCGTTTATCATTAAGAACCATCATCAAAGTGTAAGCGGGGTTATACGACTTGAAAATGGGGGTAAATAGGTAACGAAAGAATTATGTTTTTGAACGTATTTGTTTGAACTTCCGTATGTGGTTAGTGGTTTACATCCCAAAGAAACATTGATTGTGATTGTTCGCATTTTAGCACGATACGGTTGCGTGAAGAAGCAAACAAACAACAAAATCAAAACAAGCAAACAAGCAACAAGACTGGCAATGACAACATACATTGCCATGGCGAAGGTGGTTGCTATTAGGGTTATTGTTTGCATGGCACTGCCATCATTTCATGATTTTGAGGAAGACTTGGTACCTGTTAAGTCTAGACAGATACAGTGCACTCCTCCCCTGAGTGTATAGTGAACGAGCCCCGGGCCCGGGGTCACAGAAAGTATGGCCATCATGGGCAGACAGGTCTTCCCAAGGTTCCAGGAATGTGGGCATAGATGTGGGTCAGAGACATGTCTGTGGGCATTCCATTTCTGTGGACAAAATGCCTGTACCATTCCTAGAATTCTTGTTAACTGCACACAATACTGTACCATTAGGCTCCTCCCTGAGACGTCGCCAAAAATGTACAACCAGAAGGCTGTAAGATTTTCTATCCGAACCCCCGCTTGGAGAGCACAGTTCAGTCACCGTCAGCGACAATGTTTTTACTGTCAACATGGTGTCAACCGACAGGTGTCGCTCGTGTCACACCGCTGATACATACAGGAGAGGCGGTCCCTGGAACCTGAAACTGACGAGATGACGGCAGTCTTGGGTTCATGAGCTATATTAAACTTACAACGTACGCGTCTTACAACATGCGCTTTAGTTCATTAAAACACGTGCGCAGCCGGCGAAAATTCTTATAAATCTCACCATACTAGATCACAGGTTACACGTACCCATTACATACATACCCTGTCACACCCTTGGGAGATCTTGTTTGAAATGCAAAGTGAGATAGATAAGATAAGATAATTTGATAATTATTTCGTCGCAGTCCAGAAAGTTACCTATCATTTTGAATGTAGCCTAGACAAGGAGTGGTCGGCTTTGTATGATTTCCTTCTCGGATTGTCCGTTGTAACATTTCATAAGAAAGTCGCAGTCTCGCGGAGAAGGCTGAAAATGAGCAACAGATTCGCAGACGTAGATACGCACGCTGTGCTGCTCATGGAGGACAAGGAGATGAAGACTTACCGCCAGAAGATGCTCGCCGAGAAACAACAGCACGACTGGGAAATGAAACTGTTGGAGAAGGAAAGACGAATCGCCTGGAACTCCGACAGGTAAGGAGTTATCTACTAGAAAAAAATCAATGAACAGATTTTGCCGATTCTTCTGTCATTTTAACTATTCGTCAGATAGTTTGAGGCTGATATAAACGTTTCTTATTTTAAAACTTCAGGGCTGAAGAAACCCGGCTGCTGTCTCGTCTGGAGAACATAAACAAGCGCATTCTGCAGATAAACAAAGAAAATTCCAGAAAACAGAGGGAGCAGACGAGAGCAATGTTTTCGACCAAAAACAGACTCCTACAAGTAGGATGCACTAAGTCGTCGCAGAATTCGGAAGAAAACGAGAAAAATGCCGTCTTAGCCAGAAAACCATTTTTGTCGTCGTCTTGGCCGGGAGGCCTGGGGTACCTGGATATGTTCCAAGACTCGCACAGCGGTGCCCTGAAGCAAGGAGGCCTAAAGCTTGACCCTGATGCAAAGCCGCTCAAGAGCCAAGCAACTTCAATACCAGGCCATCCTTCCATACAACAGACGCTGTACCACATTCCCGTGATCTCTGAAAAGCCCGGCCACGTGCAACCAAGAAACACGACCGCTTCACCGCAGAAGTCGAAAAATAAAAAGAAGCGCGACCACAAACTGCACTCAGAAACCAACGACGAGGACACCAAGGAACCAGTCAAACCCAGACTAGCCCGCCGTGCAAGCATGGACCCGAAGGTCCTCGCGTCCCTCTTGAACGTCGATGAATCTTTAGTTCAGAAACAGAATCAGGTTTTCCAGAGGGCAAGGCTAAACTCCGACGCCGCTCTCAGAGTGAACGCCGACGATGCGCAAGAACAAACAGACGAAAACGAAAAGAGTAACAAGAAGACGCCGTGTATAAGTAAGATCCAGCGCAGGGCAAGCGTGACCTCCATGCATTTGTCCAGTGACTTGTTAAAAGTCGGCTTTCCGGATTGGAAGGCCCGGGAAGAAATGTTGCCGATAACGTGCCCCAACACCGAACAGTCGCCACCGACTGGTTTCAGTTTTGTCTCCCAGGCCCGGAGAAGCTCCCTGCCGTCCCTGTCCACCGCACATCACGCCATGCACGCGAAGCTGGGTTCGACTGCTACAAGAAAGATGAGCAAATCGAAAACCTCGTCGTTAGACAAGCTCGAAAATGTGATCGAAGAAAGCGAGGAAAATTTGCACCATTCGAAACCACGAAGATTTTGATACCATGTGAGTACCATGTCGATCGATTGTAATTTATCACCTGAAAGAAAGAAAGAACTACAGGGACAACAACATGTGTTCTTACGAACTATTACAGGTTGGAGAGCGTCTAGATCTCAGACCTGCCAACTGTAATTTCCTAGCTAGGGTATAATCTGTGTTTTAAGTATCGTAGCTATGCTATATGTCATAGGGACTTAGAGACAAGATCCTGTGTGAAATAGACTCATTGAAACGATGGAAAAGTCAATGTCGTGGTCATCTCTTCACAAGCTACATTGTTAATATATAGGAAGGAGGAGCACATGCATTTCTTACGCTGTACGAACGCGTTGAAACCCTGAGATTTATTTTTACAAATCAGGTTTTGTTTTAGTCTGGTCCAGGACTAGCTCAACAGATCATGTATGATGTACTCTGGCTGTCTTCTGGTTGTAAATAAACACTTGAAAAATGTGATACTTAGTAAAATCTGCTGTTTAATAAATCGTTTCTAAGTGGAAAAATCAAACAAAACGTTGCTCTGGAGTATTAGTTTTTCTTGCGTCGGTGCCCAACTTTAAACATATGTAGAATGAGGTAGTCTGTTGTGATGTGGTCTAGTTCGGTTAACTTGTTCCCAAAACTACCCAAGACAAGCATCCGAGTCGGCGGAGACATGACCGATAGAGGTATGAGACAAAGACAATTAGACTGTCTGAAAGGGCTTTTTGAATATGTCTGACTTGAAATCGATGTGTTTTAGATTAGTTCGAACTACCCGAGACAAGCATCTGAGACATGACCGATAGAGGTATGAGACAGGACATTAGAATGTCTGGAAAGGCCGTTTTACATATATATGTCTGGCTGCTTAAAATCGAAGCTATTAAAGCCATACGATGTTGCAAGAACAACTCTTCAGTTGTGTAACAGTTGTGTAACAGTTGTGAAACAGTTGTGTAACAGTTGTGTAACGTTCTAGGAATTTCTCTTTTTATAACAATTGTGTAACAGAAAGCTATTTCTGGCAAACCCGATAGATAACGTTGTGCAGCATCAACATTCGCTATTGTCTTGCTAATGAAGCTGTGATGTGATCTTCGTAATTGGCTAGGAAATGATCGGGGTTGTTATATAAAGTCCCAGAGGAGTCGATTAGGCGTCAGAAGGATGACGACTGAGACACAACGATTCTAGTCTCTACCAGACTAACTACGCTGGCTATATATAGGAGAATATTTGCTAGGGGAGTTTGGCCGCCTTGTCTGGCCGCGCAGTTAGAAAGAAACTACCTCCCCGCGACCGGAATCCCCTGGCCAATTTTACTCTCTTTTTGCCGAATTCTACTATCCGTATTCCCGTAGAAAGGCCTGGTGGAGGCTACAGCGATTCCCGGTTTCGACCTACAATTCAAAAGTTTCCATCAGAACAACACTCAGAGAGTGGTACCGCACTCCCTTTCAAACCCTTCTATTGCAGTCAGTCTAAGACCGCCCTTCCCTTTGCAGGGAAGGGCGATCTTAGAAATAGCCAATCAGCTTACAGGATTCAGGTTTGCTGGAGTCAAATTTCCAAGCAAGCCGTATCCCGAACAGGTAGTTAGCGAGAACGAAAAATATGACATGGAAACACACAAAATCTTTAAAAGATAATCATAAGCATGATATCTGAATATGAATTCCGTTCCCCAGCTTATAATTGTGACTTCGTAAGATTGTTCATTGTTAGTTTCTACCGGACTAACTACGTACGCTGGCTATATATAGTATTATATAGGAGAATATTTGCCGGGGGAGTTTGGCCGCCTTGTAGGTTTGATTGGCCGCGCGGAGGGAAAGAAACAACCTCCCCGCGGCCGGACTCCCTTTGCCAATTTTACTCTCTTTTTTGCCGAATTCTACCATCCGCATTCCCGTAGAAAGGCCTGGTGGAGGCTAGGTAATTGTGACCGGCACACCAAGGACATCCCAGAGGACTAATTCAGGATAAGAGAAAACATAAGAATATCAAAGAAGTTTATGATACTGTGCTGGAGCGATTTTAAAAAGTGAAATGCTGTTAGAACTGCTCACTACAATCACGTCAGTACTGTGAAGATCTCTCTACGTCTTCCATGGTTTACAGAAGAGAAGTCAAGCCCTTTGAATTCAGACATAGTTTTAGACATAGTTATAGTTCTAGACAGCTACCTTTATCATGTAGACTTTAGTTATTTTATACTCTATTTTATTGTTCTTTTATGTTTTGTAATTTGCGATTAGCCTCCGGGCAAGAATTTGCAATAAACTTTATTACTATAGTCTTATATACCGGAAAACTAAGAACTGGACATCATAAAAGGAATTAGACATATTAGACTAGCACCACATGAGCTTTTCGATAGGTCATAATGTCCAAACAGATATGGGGGCGGCGAATGTCACTCTAAAAGGAAACACTACATCAATGTCTTTGGGTCAGTTTCAACAGTAACATTCCAATGGAAATACAAACTAATAGAAATAGCAATGACTAAACGGGTGAAGGTAGCAGAGCACAGTTTTCGCCCTATGGGGATATCTATAGTTAAGGACGACAAGGTAACTCACTTCAACACGGTAAAAGTCATTGTACAGTACTAGAGAAATAAGAAAACGAAATATCAAATATATTTCCGTTATACAAAGTTACAACCTACTAAAAAGTAGTAAAAAGTTAACCTCATACCTTTGACAAATGTTAACCTTAATCTTTACGACTGATGAATTATTTCTCATGGATTATGGGAATAAGGCTCTTATTTATATCAATTATATCAATTGATTATATTCCCCACCCAAATAACAAGGGTTGCCTGAAGACAGTCTTATCTTAACAAAGGAGGCTTTTCTGGTATTTCCTAATCAATTATACAGATGAAGTCCTGATTTGCATAAGTTATGTTTAACACTATTCGCCTTGTGTTGAATACCGAATGCCAGAAGTATGAAATTCCAGCCATTTACCACTATCTCTCTCTCTCTCTCCCTTAGCTTAGTCAGCCGTCGGGGCAGCATGATGTTTGGCCAAGTTCTTCCACTGCTGGCGGTCCACTATGGAATCATCTTATTTCCTCATTGATTATGGAAGTTAGTTCTTCATTAGTATACTTTATATCATTACATATGTCACATATTTAATAGTTATCGCTAGATAGGAAAAGTTAGGAAAAGCGGCACCTCGCTAGAACTAGAACGGAACGAGCGTGTGAGTTGGGGTGTTATTCCTGCGTGTTTCCCCGGGCAGGAAAAGCCCTAAGGACGTAACAGAGCCAGGAGGGGCAGCCAGGGCAGGGATTTAGACGGGCCTGGGGCTGGAGGCAGGATGCCGACGACCAGGAACCAGGGGAAGAGGGCACAACGCAGTATAGGACCGGATGGCGCTAGCCAACAGCCTACAGTACAACAAGGGGGAAAAAGACTTGGGGGTACAACCATATTTTGTTTGGCACGACCTATTTATGAATTCAGGTTGCGCGATGTGCCAGAGAACATGGCATCCTTCGTGCGAATGGCCTGTAGGACAGCGACCCTGTCAAGCTTGCCAGGCTAAATTGTAGTAGTCAACAGTACTTATGCCACAAGGCTACGAATTTCAGGGCTGCGAATTTTGCTGGTGTTTAACTTCTTCTTCTTCTTCTTCTTGAGTACTCTCTAACCACCCCTACTGGGGTATCACTGAGAGGGGGGGTGCGACGGACTATGGCTGCGCGGCCAGAAGCCCGGCCTTGAAGGCCTCCACTGTCTGGGCTTTTACAAGCTGGCCCGGTAACTTGTTCCACTCATTTATCGTTCTTGGAAAAAAAGAAAATCTAAAACAGTCAGTTTTGGCAGGTATTGCTTGATACTTATATTCATGACTTCCTCTGGTACGCCTATGGGCAGGTTTGAGGTATTGTTCCATTTGAATATTAATATGTCCATGAGCAATTTTATATAAAGATATCAAGCGAGCGGTTCTCCTTCTGTCAACAAGTAACGGCCACTGGAGGCGCTTTAGCATGTCAGAAACACTGCTGGTATAGTCATAATCACTAACAGCCATTCGCGCCGCCCTTCGTTGGACTCGCTCCAACGCCTGGGAACCACCACTGTCTTTATTGAATCATGGAGGACAGGACGACCGCGGCTTTGTTATGTTGTGAAACAGTTGTGTAACGTTCTAAGAATATCTCTTTTATAACAATTATAACATTGCAGAAAGCTATTTCTGGCAAACCCGATAGATAACGTTGTGCAGCATCAACACTCGCTATTGTCTTGCTAATGAAGCTGCGATGTGATCTTTGTAATTGCCCCAAATTAAGACCAGGAAATGATCGGGGTTGTTACATAAATCCCCGAGAATTAACTCAAAGAAAGATAAGAGTGGGACTTGTACGCATGTTAATTGTTTTATATCCACGAGTCTGTTTGTAGGTTTAGGTCCTGCACTACACCATTAGACTCAACAATAACCTACCTTGAACCTACACTGGACTTTGCATAGCCTGACCAAGCAACTTTGTGCATATATGTTGTAAATACTTTTTTTATGTGTCTTTTGTATATATGTTACTTTAGATGTATTATTTTTCAATGTGAACGTTGTTTTTCAAATAATGTGACAAATTGTACATAATTCAGGGGGATGCGCTTCTGCTCCCCCTGCTGTTGTACATTTGTAAAATGATGAGCAATAAATAAATAAAGTTGAAGTTATAGATCGTACGAAGGTTGCCGCAATTTTGTTGTGTCAATAGAGTATTGTATTGTGCTGTCTTTATCTTTAATAATTCCTAAAAAGAAGGTAAATCGTGTCAGAATGGTACTGCTCATTCCAAACACGTCAGTGCTGTGAAGATCTCCGAATGTAATATGTGTAATTCAGTATCTACAAGACTGTCATCTTTTATACCTGGATTTCTCTCAATGGATTCAAATAGCATGTTGACAATCCATGTACGTATGGTACATATAGGGCAATATTTCAAAAGATGTCTAGACGCCGGAAATCACATCGATAATTGTTAAATCATTGGTCACCCCGCACTGTGTAACTGTTATATAAGCTATTTACGTTTCTCGAATCAAGTACAACAGATTTCAAGAGTCTCGATGTTATAGACAGATTTGGATATATCTATTTAATGGTTCCCACAAAGCAAAAATAGGTAGATGTATAAAGGACTGCCTTGTTATTAGAAAAAATGCTGAAACTTGTGATTAGCCCACTCGATTGTAACACATTATCAAAGACTTGTGCTAGCCCTTTCTGTTTGAATAATTAAGATATGTTAGGTTTTATTCGACATTATATTAGGTCTTATCCAACATTTATTTTATTGTTTGTTACTCTCTTTATGTATTTTGCCATACATTGTACCTTGTAAATTGTCGTGCAATAAAGTTCTTCTATATATTCTCTTGTAAGGTATTCCAGGTCGGAGGGGGGGGGGGTACGTTGACTGTTTCAAGGGTCATATTTCTACGGTAATGCAAGCAGATAGACAAAAAAAAATAAAATAGATAGAGAAAATAGATAGAGAAAAATGAAGACACACATTGCCAGTTCCGTCAGGTCGGGCAACCGGCCTGGGTATACTTTAATTAAGACAAGTTCCCTACAAAGTCCATAACTCTCTGGAATACTAGTGATCTTAGCCTCTGCAATGTTAGGCCATGTTGATTTGATTATATGGATGATATCCGCGCGCGCATGAATTTTCGGCCGTTTCCAAAAAAAAAAAAGTTTACTGTAAATCGTACAAAACAGTTACAAAATGAGCAAAAATATACCATAAGTTACAAAAAAAAATAATAAAAACTATACCAATGTCGTAGAATGCCAAAATCAAACAAAAAAGACGAAATTGTAAAGAAATGAACTTGAAGACTAGATTATTCGCCAAACCATATTCTGTCCCATGTGTTCAACCCTCATGACCATGTAGATTTCATTATGAAAAGAACTTTTTTTTTTTGCAAAACTTTTTTTTTTTATTCGCACGCGCGCATCAGTTTTGGGGCTCCCGGAGGATGTCATCCATATAATCAAATCAACATGGCCTTAGATACATTCAAAGTGAATTTGAGAGACATGGAGAGGAAATGATGTCGTCTTTGTTTTAAATGAACCTTAATGCAATGGATGCAGTTATAAGTCAAGTTCAGAGAGCTTTGCACTGTACAGGCTTCTGTTCCAAAGCATGTCCACCATCTTGTTTTTAAAGAAAGGCAGATGTTCCGGTGTTTATATATTCTGGGATTTAGTTTTCTCTTCAATAGGCCAATTTTGTAGGAGTTGTATTTTTACACAAGTGAGTCCCACTACCTATTACTGGACTGAACCTTCGCTTGTTAGATCATACATGTATTCACGAGTTTACCATCCCCAGAATGCATTACGAAAACAGGGGTCTAAATCTCATTTGCAAAGGACAGGAAGGCATCGGAATTATCCTGTTGATGTTAAACAGCTTGTTTTTCAGTGTGTTTGAGGTGTTGGGGCATTTTATGCTCAACGTTAACTAAATTACTATGGGTTGAATCTGACAACAAACAGAGAATGAATTTTTTCGAATATGTGGTTTGTAACGTATAGTGGTAACGCTATACTGATGCTGTAACGTTACAAAACACATGTTCCATGTTGAAAAGAACACTAAAACTTCATTCTCTATTTGATGTCTAGGGCAAAGGCCTGCAACTGGCTTTCCAGTGTTAAAATTTGCGAATTATGTCAGAATTAAGTCATCTACATGAGTTCTAGACCTTGAAAAACACACATTGTCAGGATACTCTAACATCTAAAGTGTCCATTTAGACCAAAAAAAAATTTAAAAATCCCATACGCTCGACGCATACGTGAATTATGCCGGAACATTGACAAGTGACCCTGACCCTTCTGGACAGCTGATGACCGCATGTAAACCCATGCATATAGACCTCTATTTAGTTGTTGAAGAAAAGGACTGATTCTGTGTGGTACTATCTACAGAAAATGGTTTTGGGTGTTGTCGCCCTCTTGATGACCGAATTGAGGTAACCTGAAAACAAGATAGCTGGAACACCTAGTTCTGTAAACTCAGAGGTCTCGCAACATATTCATATTGAATCTCCGGGACACTCAGTATCTTTAGAAGAGGAGTGAAAGAGGCGGTCTACATAAGAGCTCACAGACCAACCCTTAACAGAGACGGGGGGCGACACAAGTTATCTGGCACGTAAGACCCGCTACTACTACGGTCACGTGTCTCTGATGTCACATTCCAAGAGTGGACGGGTCCATTCCGTGAACACGGTTAAAGGAATCAGCCGAAAATTTTGGCTGATTCCAATTCATTCTAGTGTTGGAGATAAAGTTTAGTCTTCTCTTCATAAAAAGTTACAGTTTGATTTTCCGACAGACTGTTAAGTACTGTACCCTTGATATGATTATAAAATGATAAAGTTTCTATTGTTTCAAATAATATAACGGATAAAATGTTAACCACCGCCTCACCAACAAGTAGACTAGTATATGTCGCTGACGTATGCGAACTACCGACAGTTAATAAGGCCACAGCGAGTACATTTTATGGATTTCATCCTCCGCAGACTCCAAATCCAATGCGATAGGCGATAAAAACAAGGCGGGCCGAAAAAAAAAGATTCCCAAATTTTCAAATTTTGACATCATAAATCTTGTTTCACAAGGAAAGATACGTATATTGTGCTAAGGGTATAGAATTTTCTTCTTACACGTTAAATAGCGGCGAGTTGCAGAACTCCAGTCAGAAGCTCTGAGGAAGGTGTCTGATAGACATCGAAACGTAAGCAGGTGAGAAACTCTATGGTTGTGTAAGTGAAATTCTATACCCTAAGTATCTTCCAACCTGATGAAATTATTTACGGGTATATTGTGCTAAGTTTACTGTCAATTATTACAACATCCATTTCTCATTAAAACAACTTTGAAAAATAAAAGTTTTTTAATAATTGTGCATTAAATCATGATATCATTGTACAAATGGTTTTGATTCGGTTGGAGCATCACATCACTCACAGCCACAGCCATCACACATAAAAGGAATGAAATACACTGCATCAAAGTACAAGATAAAACATTAAATCAGATCCTTGTATTGTCTCCACTCTTCATAGGTATCTGCCATCCACGGTCCGGCATGGCAACAGACATCTTTGCCCATTTTCAGCATGTTGACCACTGTCTGAGGACAACAAAATTTCTTCTTTTTTTCAAAATCAGGCGAAAATTAATGCGCGCGCTGATGTCATCCATAAAAATTACTTGCCGTGACCTCACTCAATAGCGCTGATGAAGATGACAGATGGTCGCCATTAAACAAGTGGTTGTGAATAAAGAACTTTGCTATTCCATCATTCACCAACCTGATGAAATTATTCGCGGAATTAATAATTTTTGGTAATTTACAACTCAGTATCAAGTTCTTCTGGAACGTAAGTCTGACCATCCTCCCATGGTGTTGATGATTCAAACTAAGCGTGGAAAGAAAAAAAAACGACAATTACTTCTCAGGACACTTCAAACAAACAGACGTGCAGAGCAAAATTTTTCAGCCTCACAAGGATTCAAACTGTGTACATGTGCGTAGGTGAAAAATCAGGGCACTTGCTACCATGACACCAACTTTTAGGTCATTTAGCTGAAATATGAAGTTGCCCTTCATATATGAGACATGATTTTTATCAAAATGCTGGGAGGAAACATCGGAGAATGTATTTGAATGTATTTCCTCACATGGAAATAATGCATATGTGTGTGCGTGTGCGTGTTTGTGTGCGTGTGTGTGTGTGTGTGTGTGCGCGCGTGCGTGTGTGTGTTTGTGTATGTGTGCGTGCGTGTGTGTGTGTGTGTGTGTGTTGTTTGTGTGTGTGTGTGTGTGTGTGTGTGTGTGTGTGTGTGTGTTGTGTTTGTGTATGTGTGTGTGTGTGTGTGTGTGTGTGTGTGTGTGTGTGTGTGTGTGTGCGTGTGTGGGTGGATGGGTGAGTGGGTGGGCGGTTGCGTGGGTGCGTGCGTGCGTGTGTGCGTGTGTTTAGGTCAAGTGAAGATAGCCATTACCTTTCGAACCTCTTCATCAGTAAAGCCCTTGATCATCATAGTGGACATGGTGCTCCCTTGTTGTGTAGTGTCACGGCGCTCGTAGGCTTTATCAATTTTTATGCTGAGACTCTGTTGGTGCGTAAGCAACAATAAACAATGTGGATTCAGTTTGGATATCGTCATGTGTCCACAAAACATTTTTAATGTTGTCCCTGCATTGAATCCTTCTTTGCATTTGCAGTGTTTTCATGATGTACAACATTATTTCCAATATTAGAATTTGAGGAAGCTTTATAAAACAACTTTTTCTTCGTTTTTTTTAATAAAAGATATGTTGTGTTTCATAGTTTATGTTATAATAATTATGTTTACCGAAGGAAAAGATATTGTTTTTACTCAATTTCCTCTTCTTCTCCTCCAAACACTAACCTCTGACCTGGCCAATGACATGATTTGTTGACGTCTGTCACCATGGTGACTGGTGTTGGGTTACATAATGTTGCAATTTCATGGTCTGCTCTGCTTCTGTCACCATATACTAGTAGTACACTGTACATGTATGTGAATATGTTTGAGTAAAAATTAACATGGCAGACCATGTCCGAAGGTAAACATTATGCATTTGCTTTGCAAATGTTACTTCTCTAGTTAAACTTTGACTACATACAGTTTTGAACTTGATGACATTGTTTTGTTGGTGAAGTTCATTGATCACTCATACAAATAGGAGATGCAAAGCCTTACCTCGAACTTCTTTTGTATGTTTCTCACCTCTCGTTCGTTCTTCTCCGTCTAGTAGATAGAGGAATGGTACATGTGTGGTAAGAGTTGGAGTTAATCTAGCCATGCAAGTACATAAAAACGTGTGAGTTAACTCGGGCATTGAAGAGCACCTACATCTCTCTGGAGAGAGACCGCCATAATCCATACCTGTGAAGTCGTGTGGCGTAAAGATAGACTAAGAGTGTTCGGCTCAGACCGAAGAGGTCCCGGGTTCGAATCCTACCGCGATGTCACCGATCTTGTGCCCTTGGGATAAGCACTTTACACGACTTTCCTCACTTCGCTCAGGTGTGAATGAGAACGTAGCTTCGGTTAGGGACGTCCCTCGGGTAGGACGTTAAATGGAGGTCCCGTGTTTGAGAGAGCCACACCCCACGCACGTTAAAGAACCCACCACACTTGGTGTAGGGAACCTTCCCGGTGTGAGTGGTTTAAACCTTACAGTCTGGTCTCAGAGTTGGCCTCTTGAAGAGGTGATAGTCACATACTGTGTCAATCGAATCCTTCCACAAATGTGGCAAATCTTCATAAATGAACCTCATAAATAAATATTCTCAAGCCTACCCTGAAGTATGATTGACACTTGTCAGAAAGTCTTCTCAATTCAATAGATTAGGAATGAACAATGTAACATTTCAGGTCCAAGGGTTTTTGTTCCTATTTCGAAATAGGAAAGGGACTCAGCAAAGGGACTAACAATTTTCCAAAATTTGTATTCATTGAAAGTTGTGTATGCACTCGTATGCATGTACATTGTATTCTTCACATCAACTATCAATGCAGTTGATTTGAAAATAGAAAGTTTTCTTGTGTACATGAAGCTGTATGCATACGCACCTTTCCCATTATGAAGATCCCAAAGCACAGGTGTGCCAAGACGACCACAGCCCCAAACACGGCCGCACAGAATTCGTCAAACCGCCTGGCGCTGTCCTTGTACCTGATACACGAGACCACAGCGTTCTGTACCGCCACGGCGCACTGGAACACGATCCATCCCAGCACGTACTTGTCCTAAAAACAATCAAGGTACCAAAATCCTAAAACATGCTTTTCCAATGAGTGAGATACATGTCATAACACACCTTGCGATACACATAGAAGATGACACAACAGCCATTGTTTCTAAATTTAAAACAAGAGTTCCGAGATCTCATACCTCCATGAATATGGGCTTGCATTGTCATAGTTCATTTCTACATGTCCTCATTAATTATGCAAATAACCTCAACATTAACATAATATATGCATAGTGGTGCTAACCTTTAAGTAATTTATACATGTCACGAGGTATAAGGTCTCGGACCGGAGTTTTCTGCTGTGTTCGTAGTGAATTTGACACCCTCAGCCCGACGGGCTGTCATTTCAATACTAAACGCGGGTCGGAATTTTTCACTCTTTTGGCGGAAAGGGGTGCCGTCCCGCTTATCAATACACTTGATTGATATTTTGTGCGCCCAATTTATTTAGGGGTAAACAAGGCATATTAAAGTAAATTTGTAAGTGAGGGGTCCTTTTTTTCGTCATTTTTCACACATGGCTGCATGGAAAAAAGAATTTTCCCAGGGTAACGGCTTACTACTCGAAGAAGCCCGGTACCTAATCTTTCCGATGTCAAAATTTAATTAAAATCGATGCGATAAGTTTACCGCTAGCTTCGATGACCCAACACACCCACAACACACGTAGAACGCACCGTCCCAGTGATCAGGCGGAAAGGCTACACTATCATCCGCGCGGACTAATATCAGGAAGTCTCCGCTGGACCACCAAGATTACGCCACCTATAAAGGCTACAACTAACAGGCTTTTCAGAAAACAGAAAGATATGTACACAGCTATTACGATATTAGGGATATCGTGGCCAAAACATAGCATACATAGTCACGTTTCCGGCGATTTACTTCGCACTTACTTAGACTCTGGTCAGAATTAAACTCCGACCCGGAACCTTAAAATTCCCATCATTCACCAATAAGGAGTCACAAAATGTTCACATTTATTATGCAAATTAGGTCACTATTTGCATAATTGGTATCTGTTGATGTTCCGCCTGCCACAGATTAAATATATAAACATATATAGCAGTACCATTATATGAAACACTGTAATTATAGAATTTCCTCATTAATTATGCAAATTAAGTCCTCATTTGCATAATTTGCATTTAATCATGTACAACTGTCTCTCAGGTACCTACACACCAAAAATGATGAAAATACGTTGTTCCAATCTGCACTTATTGGCTTTGAAAGTTTTTACCAGAAACTAATCTGCAGTTCCAGAACAAGCTGCTAGGGGTACCAAACTTACGCCACTTATTTCTGACAGGATAAGCTATCTGTCACCAAAAAGTCAAGACCATAGCTTGTTCAGGACAAAAGATACAAAAACCGGAAGTTCTGCTGCAGTACCAAGGTCATCCACCAGGAGGCCCATACTTGACCTTGACCTTTGTCTTTCCTAGACTTACCATCACACCAAATATCATTACAATCCATAAAGGCGTTCTGAAGTTATGCTGACTACAAAGTTGCGGAAACACACACAGACAGACACACACACACACAGACATACATACAGACAGACACGCCAAAAACAATACCTCCATTTTTCATGAAGGTAAAAACATAGAAATCATTATATAAGAAAATATTTTTGGCAAATTGCACCAACAAACAGATTTCAACTTCTATTTTTCTGTGAACCAGACAAAATGGAAGAGAGCGGTCTGATCACTACCAATGCTCAAAATCTACTCATTGTCAGCCGCGACTCAAAGGACAGACAAGATGGCCACATCACCTGTCTTACGAACACCTCAGCAAAACAGCATATAGACAGACCGTGTCATCCTTCAGGAACACGTTGGCTGACGACATTCTGTCATAAAAAGTTAGTTTATCATTCGTTTCTACTAGAAAACGTTATAGTTGTAAATTATACTCACCAGCAACGTCAGATAGGGGACAGTAGGAAGATACTGGCACACCACCAGCTTGTAGGCCACGGCGGTGAGCAGGATAGTGAAGGTGATGGTAAGGCGGGTTTTGTTATCCTCTATCGGGATGGAGAACACCACAAAGGAGACGGCCATGATGGGGAACTGTATAGAAACAACAGCAGAGTAATCAGAAATGGCAGACGTCACCCTTACCAATACTGCTTCGCGACACTTCCAGTCCCGCCAACTACTTTTGATATTTCCCAGACCCACTCAGCAGCACTCTGTAACGTGTGAGTGACCATCAAGTACAGTTTTATTCCACAAGGAGTTGATCATTGTCAACACAAAAAATTTGATGCTTGATAAACTACTTTTCCTACTGCATGTTGGGTGCACAGAGGCTGATGGTGGTCAGTCTTTTAAGAAATTCCATCCTGTCATTGGAGGGAAATAAACCAGCCAATCAGGATGTCTCTTTACCATAAATAGCAACATGATTGGTTGATGACAGCTGACCAAACATGATGGTCCACGGTGGTCAAACTTGGGCCCAAATGTCCCTACTTTCTTTTCGAAATAAGGGTCATATTTGTAGGCAATCTTAAACAATGTTTGTCTGAAAAAAATGCGTTCCGAAAACCCGAAAATAATCGTCTTTAGGACCTTTTTTTTAAATCAACCATTCAACGTAAAAAGGTAACATCAAAAGTGTGTAATTATAAAGCCGTTTATTTAATTTCATTCAGACAAAACTTTCCCTTCCATACTGTTAATCTTAAATGTTTTACGGTTAGCCTGAAAATTGCGTCTTGTAACCCGATACTTGAACGCGACTAGCAACGGGACAGAACACCCCAGCAACCGACCGCCATCACAGACTCTTGCTTGATTCGTACAAGCGGCAGGCCTGGCAGGAGAGGATGGGTGTTGGATGCTACGGACCATGGTTCTCGGACCTTATACATGGTAATGGCGCTTATGGGGGCACACCCCAGTTTATTTGGGGCCTCTATTCGAAGCTGCACACCCTCACATCTAGCGACTGTCTCTGGCGTGGAATAATTCGGAAGGGAAATAACTGTATATGGGACGAAAGGATATCTCCTCAGCTACAAGACAAGCTGAGTTTGGTTTCTTCAACCTTTTTAAGTTTGGTAAAATCAACGGAAAAAACATTATTTTCACTCCAAAATTAATGCCCAAAATTGCGAATTTTCGCGTAGGATAATCCCACACAAAAAAATTTTCCGGCAGAAATGACTGATGCTGGCAGAAAGACCCAAGCCTCGACTATACCCGAGTAAATTATAAAGAAAATTCTAGTACTGTAATTTTCTAAACAGTCCACGGCGCGAGGGGTTCCAAATCCACCCCTACGAAGCCGCAGAGCGAAAACTAGGTCAAACGGGCGGATTACACTTGGCGCGCAAGGATACCCGGAAGTAAGGTTCGGAGCCAAAAGAAATTTTCACCCCAAAATCACCATTTCTTACACTCTTCAGCCATGTTAATGTTTAATGATACTTCGTGGCAGTTTATAAGAAATGTCACCTCAAACTTGGACCCTCAAAACCCTTTCGTCACTTTTTTACAACGGACTATCGTGGAACTGGGATGTGCACCGTTATGGGTTAAAGGTTCTACACTCACCAAGATGAGAGCGGTGTTCCATAAGTAGAAAGCTGCCTTTCGTTGCACATGCGCAGTGATGTTGTACACGGGGTACTCGCCGAAGGTTGTGGACTGACTGTTAGTTTTGGTGCCGGGTTCGCACTCTAGATACTTACTCACGTCCCACTGGTATTCATCTGAGGAACGGAATTATCTGAGTCATTAGGATGACAATCCTCGCATAATGATGCATATGATCTGTATCTGTATGGCATAACACACGAGATTCGTAGGCATTCGTGGCAGCGGGTTCTGGCTATATTACTGTAACTCTAAACGACCAGTGTCACGCATGTTTTACACAGTCATTCTCTGCCAAGGGCATTAACTCGATCAATCAATCAATCTTTATTCAAACAACTAGCAGACGAGAGTCTGAATTGAGTTGTTTTTACAGTTCATAAAATTATACGTTAAACAATACTAATGGTTTAAAAAGTACATAATTTACACGATAATAACACGAATTCGCTAGAGAGCTATAATGCCTCTTTACACAACAAGTAGCGGTAAAGGTCAATGCTAGCCGAACTCAGTCACTCTATGCTAGTAACTCGATCAGGCTAGCAGATTAAGTTTTAACTGTATCAACATTATGTTTAGAATACCTTTAGAAACCCACACTGATATAAAAACCGAAGCACCAGTCGGATAATTTCATATTGCCAGTGTCCAGAGGAATATGGCTAGGACGTTTTTCATTGCATTTTAGTATAATGCTACGACATAAACATTGTACGACCGGCTATGAATAACGTGACCTCACCATTACCTGCAAAGTTTTCTTTATCAATGGTGTCATTGGACCCGTAGTTCTTTCTCAGCTCCACCTCCTTGAGTGGCCATCCTGACATCAGTTCGACAGTCAATCTCTGGAAGATATATTTACAACATTAAGGATTCGTTTAGTCAATGATTCGGTGATGATAAAAGTTGTTTATTGCAAATTCATGCCCGAAGGCTAATTGCAAACAGACATTAATAATATCCCTGAACCACCAGATCGAGAGTTGCTCCTTTACTGCCATGATGCAGTACTGAAAAGAGTCATAGTACATATACTCCCTAGGATAGGACGATAAGCCGTGGTCCATTGCTCGTACTACTTGCCGAAAATAGCTAATAAGGGCAATAAACTTGTAAATATTGCACATAGCGTCTGTTTTCCCTGTCATGACCAATGGAAAACAAGATTGAGATCACTTTTGTCTTTCATACGTCTTTTGCAAGTCTGTACACCGAGACCGCCTGATACTTGCAAACCACGGATTTTACAGGAAAATTAATGAAGGAGTTAAGCGAAATAAACGTAAGGAAAAAAAGAAACAAGCATTCTGTGATAGGTCCAAATGCTCACCACAGCTAAAGGCCATAATATCAACATCTTAGGCTTGTTTAACAATTCAAACAAAAGTTCCACGATCTCATACCTTCGCCACATGATGTTAACCCTTCCGGTTGACGAATTATACAATTTTAATCATTGATTTCGCAAATACGAAGTTCTGCTGCAGTACCAACAAAAGCTACCAGGGGGCCCAAAATCTAATCATTTCTAGGTCTCATCAAGACCTAACCAACTACGAAGTTTCATGATAATGCATATTAAGCTTCTTGAGTTATGCTGTTCACAGACATACAGACAGCCAGACGGACAAACACTACTGAAAACATAACCTTCTTGGCGAAGGTAACAATGAAAAGTTATACACTTTATTCAAAAAGACTAAGGTCTAAGGCTTGTATACTACAAACAAAATGTTTACACGTGTACAAGCCAGGGACCTTACACTTTGACTTCAGGACGACTGCAAATGTACACTCCGACTCAATATGAACATACCTGGTGGTCAAAGGGGAAGTCGGTGAGATTCATCTTAGTCTTGAAGGTTGCCCAAACCTTCCTGAATTGGTGCACGATGGGCAAGTCCTCCCCGACTACCGGGATCAGGTTCCGTCTGGTCTCGGTCTCAAATGTCGTCGTGTTCCTCAGCACGATCCGCGGGTCCCACGTCTTGTCCCAGTCTACATCCTAAACAAGAGTTCCGAGATCTCATACCTCCATGGCATATGGGCTTGATAAGTAAATGTAAATTTCTTCCTTAATTATGCATATAAAAATCATACAAATACATTGTTACTTTGTGAATTTATCTGCTATGAAAGATTTCGGTCAGAAACCGTCCTGCAGCTCCAGAACAAGCTGCTAGGGGGACCAAACCCACACCACTTATTACTGACAGAAAAAGCTATCCACCACTCAAAAATCAAAACCATCGCATGTCCAGGACAAAAGATACGAAAATCGGAAGTTCTGCTGCAGTACCAAGGTCGGCCGCCAGGAGGCCCAAAATCGACCTTGACCTTTGCCTATCCAACACCTACCCACATACCAAATATCATAATTACAATCCATCCAAAGGTTCAAAAGTTATGCTGGCCGCAAATGTGCTGAAACACAAACACACACACAGGCACACAGACAGACACGCCACAAACAATACCTCCATTTTTCATAGAGGTACATAAGATACATTTGTCATGTTTGGAACCGTATTCTTCTTGCCGAACAGCCCTACTTAGTGGCGAGAAACGGAACTGGTCATTGCTGTCTTCTGTAGGACAGCCAGGACATCAAACCTTAGCCAGGTAATTTTTGGTTACGTAGATGTAATTCCAATTTCCATAAATAATCTTTATATCACGCAAACAGAAAACTCAGAATCTGGTGTAATGTAAATCCGAGTGCAACAAGATATTGTCCTGTCTTGTTGCACCCATACTCTTCAGTTTGTGTGATTCAGATTTATTTTGTGGAAAATATCAGCAAATTGAGATGTTGTGACCATAGGCTCTCTTTATTTTACTTCTCTTACCTCTCTTTTTTTGACCCCAATGAGGTTTGGGTCCTTGTAGAAAATTTCATACCAGAGTTCAGCCGAGAACTCTTGTTTGACAGTGTCCACATCTCTCAGTGAGAACAGGGTAGGGGTGATCAGCACTCGGATCTGAGGAGACAGGGGTAGGAAACATCATTTGCATAAATCATGGTGAACATTACGAGAAAGGTTATTAGCTTTACTCCAGTTCAAGAATTGAGCAAATTTAACTAGGCCTTTTGAATTAAAAAAAAGGCATTATTGTATGTGACATTAGGCCGATACAAAAATTTTCTAGTCATTTCTTTACAAAATGAGTCCATTGCATATAGGTGTAATTCAGAACGTGTAGGTGGCTAAATATGAGTCCTTACTCATGTGTTTAAAACCGTGAAAAACAGCTGTCTGACATTTTGGTAGTTTATGGTGGTGCAAAAAATTGAGTGCGCTTCGTGTGGGCTGTTTTAGTGCCAACCATATATGTCAAAAAATATGAGATTATTGCACAAATATTTTGCAAGGTGGAAGTAAATTACAATCACACGAATATTTTTAATAGAAAATTTCCATTTGTGGTGAAAAATGTTACATGATGCACCTTAGTAACTGGGTACACAGTTGCTCATGATAGGCGACTTTACCGTTTTAGATAAAACAAGGCGCCAACATGAAAACAATTTAGGTTGAGAGGAAAACTTCATACCAAGGAGCTTTGTAGAATGGCCCTGTTCAAACTTACTATATGATTGTATACCTGTGCGTACCTAGTGACATGTAATTGTTATATAGTACACATTTGGTCTAGGTCTTGTGTTGATCTGTATTATTACCATTTCAATATGATGTTCAACTGGAGCCAACCTTATACTGGGGCTGGGAGCGAGTATGGGATCCTCGCTATACAAATAGCATGCCACATAGGCTATTCTTACCAACAAATTAAGATGGTGTGATCTCAAAGTAGAAAATTGTGTAATTCACCTGGCCTTCTCTGCTACTGTACCATTTGTTGCTGTCCAGATAATTGTTGGTGCGGTTCAGCTCACCGCTGATGTGCTTCAGCTCAGAAACCACCAGCCATTGGGGTCCATCGATATTATGGTAGGACATCTTATCCTCACTTGCCATGGATGACGTCCTCTGAAAAAAGCATACAGATTATTAACCCTAACCTGCGCTGCCAACTCTACAGTTATGATAAAAGACTGATTTGTAACTGTTGTTTAATCTATTTTATTTTATCTTATTTATCTTTGGTGTTACCTACCTTGTACCTTCTACCTTGGTCCCTTAACCCAAGTCAGGGTCGTGGGTGCACTGCATTTCATTTTTCATTTTTATTTATTTATACAGGTCAGCTTGTCGCCATTTTGGCGCTTTTCAAAGCTCCCTGTGTCATACATAACATAACATAAACATGCCTTGAACATAAAAGTAACCTTTGCTCGTTTGTGGTGCTGTGCTACCGAGGTCCAGCCTAACCAATTCAGAACAGTTGCACTGGAGGTGTAGCGGTCACACCCTAATACTACTCTGCCCGCTCTATTTTGCAGCTTTTGTAATTTGTCTACATGCCCCTTACCTCCCTGGTCCCATACAGTGCTGCACTGTACGATGGGTTATTTAAACATGGAGTGTCTTGTAAACAAAACTACATTGTACATCACACAGCAAAATAAATTACATTAGAATACAGGTAACATTGCCAAACGAAGGGACAGAATCACTGAACTCTAGTTTATGTGAACAGAGTTGTTGTTAGCATCATCTATTTTGATTGATGGTCTTCTCAGCATAAAATGGCGTATACTAGTATTGTTGTGTGAAAATTCTGGCAAAGTTTCATGTTAGCATTTACACGTTTAGAGGTTTTTTTTTGGGGGGGGGAGATTTGAAACTTGTGTGAAAATTTTGGCAAAGTTTCATGTTACCATTTACAAGTTTCGAGGGTTTTTTTTTGGGGGGGGGTGAAACTTCCGGCCTCTGTCGCTGATGTACCGAAGAAATGGCTAATTCTTAACTAGATTGTGCAGGTGAACCTGAAGTTTGGTTATGTCTAAACATCTAGAGAGTCCACAAAATTATCAAAATCCACCTGTCGGATTTGATTAACCCACTACATAACAGCAGGAATAATTGATCATGAACCATAGCCGCTGTAGAATTAGATAAGTACGGGTGTGAATTATGTTTTTATAGATCATATTTAAGTTATCCCTAACAGCAGGAAGGAGATATTTGCGGTGTTTGACGTTCGCGGCTGAAACAATACTATAGCAGTACATGTACAGTGGTATCAGTGCCTTTACTCTTGGTTACAATATGCCAATGTCATGGACAAAAATAGTACCTGATTGTAGCCAGTATACCGCTGTTGATGCCTGTTTTCCATTATTGTCGTGTCTAAATTCAAATGTAGAAGAACGGTACTGTTCTTGTGGAGACAGTAGAGGAGAAGGACCAAAAAGTTGGTTGATTAAGACTCTCCTGATATGTATTAAGATGAGTGAAACAAGTGCATGCGTGACTTCATCTGGGTTTACCAGTAAACAAACGTCCGTGCCAGGTGTGCATTCCACTGCCACCCACCGCATCCAGTATATAAACAACCGTGCAGCGTCCTTGTCATATGGCGTTAAAACCTGTCTTGTAAATTCTATACAAAGTAGATGGGAAATTTCTATAGACATGCAGGTTAGGGTAAATACGGCAAAAAAAGTTCTTACTGACAGGAGGAGGGGGAATAATTTTGAATCAGCACCATCGGTTTTGTGAACAGGTGTTAGTCGGTTGAGCGATCGCCTTGCAAAACACCCTGTCAGTAGTGAAATAAAATCTTATTGACAGGAATAACACGTCAAAAGAGAAATTTTTAATAAACAGGCACAGTCTGGCAAGTCTGTTAATTTTTAACCCTTGTCCTGCTGGACTTTTTTTACACACTATTTTCAAGTAATTTGAAGTCGTAATCAGGTCACAGACCCTTGACTTTTTGCGTTTCGCTGCGGTGTGATGCGTTGCACGAGAAACACCCCCAAATTGTACATACACTGGGCACTATGTAGAAGGTACTGTATGTGCAACCCATATATATATGGGTCCCGCAGGACAAGGGTATTAAGTGAACTACACTCGGCAGCATGCAGTATGATTAACAAGAACCGGGCAACAGGCCAACTCGCAGGTTCCCTAGCTCCAAAAGCCCGGGCCAGCCCATGATAGACTAGTTATCAATGTGTATACAGTACCTAAAACGAATCACATTTGCGATGTCATGACTTCGCGATGCAGCAGTCAACGCGAACACCGCGAAAATGAAACCACCGCGAACATTTCAAGATCTACAGTATTCATAATGCAGTATATTATTATTAAATAGTCAGAAGCTTGCCTTGTATCGTTCCTAAATAGTCAGAAACTTACCTTATATCCTGGTCGGTCAGACCAACTCTCGGTTAATTGTGGGGATCACTTTTGCAGTGTCGACCTTTGGTTCAGATTGTTTTCAGTTGCCATGGCGGTGTTGAACCCGTTACCGTAATGGGTTATGGACTTTGGTAAATAATTACATAGTTGTATTTGGTAAAGAATTGCAAAGGCGGAATATGTGTCGAAGTTCGTGCGCACCAATAGATGCCAGGCCTTGGACCCATTTTTGTGTAGGAACGTTCAAATTGAACGTGAGGCAAAAACCGGTGACTTTGTGTGCCGTCAAACCACAGTGCGGAACGCTACAGTTACATGAAAGTTATGTCTGTACAGCACACAATGAAGAACTTAATTCATAACTAGAGTTCCACGATCTCATACCTTCGCCAAATGATGCCGCCCCCCCAGGACTGTCAATCTTATCTCAACAAAAGCATTTCCTCGCAAATTATGTTAATGAGGTCCAAATTTCAATAGGTTAATTGATTCAATAGGTTAATGTGTTTAATGATGTTCTATTTCAATTAACTTCTAAATGCCGAAAGTATGAGATTCGAGGAAGTTACAGTACACTACAGAATTATAGCATTTTCTCATTGATTATGCAAATCAGGTTTTCATTTACATAATTAATATTTGCCGATGTTTCTCTTAATCTCAATTAATTACATGCATCACTAGTTTGAAGGGCATTAACAACCATCCACTGCTTCTTGAGTTATGTTGTACACAAACAAAAACACATAAAACACAACCTCTTAGGCCTGCAGCATGTCTGAGAGCACAGAATTTCAATACGTTCTCCCCAATCAGCAACATCGCACTCCATGAATGGCGATATACATTTGGATACAGATGTATGCATGTAGACATTGTGACTAGAATGACTTTGACTTTGAAAAATCTCGTTTTCAAAGCCAAAAACTCCACTGGGCACCTTAACCCTACCAAGACCGGGGGAGGGGGGCTAAAAGTGCCCGCGGCAACCTGTCACCTAGCGTCTGAACGGCTAGCCGTAGAACGGCCAAACTTGGTGGCTTTTCCTAGAATATTGTTGGTAACAATTCTCTATCATTGGAATAAGATAATAATTTTTTGTGTTGCCATGGCAACGGGTTTCTGACAGGCATTTTTGGCTAAATTTAGTACTTTTTGTTTCAACAATAGAATTTTATGGGTTTTATGTCAAGTTACTCATGGTTTCTAATATTAATAACATCCCATATAATTTTATGTAAATTTTATCATTAAATAAGCATAATTTATGCTAATTTGATGACGTCATTGGCCAAAATCCAAGATGGCGGACCATATCATTAGAACAGGTATGTACAGGTTATTTTCATTAAAATTTCATCAATACTTCCATTTCTTTTTCCAAAAAAGGTTTAAATGAAGGTCTTTAGTATGTTTACAATGTATTTCAGGCTTTATCATGAAAAAAAAAACTATTTTTGAAAATTCAAGATTGATGATCCAAGATGGCGGATATCTTAAATATGCATGACGTCATTTTATGACGTCACCGGTGTCGCCATGGGCAACATAAGACTTAGTACACCATAATATTCTGTCATAAACACTTTTGGTACAGTTATGTTGAATACCATTTAGTTTTCAGGGAAAAACCTGTTTAGACGGTTTTGGCCAATAAAATCACATTAATGACGTCATAATGACGTCATATTACGTCATAACGACATAAAAATTGTAGATATGATAAATTTTGACTAGTACACCATTTTCTGCAAATTTGGTGGTCATACGACATACCGTTCGCGAGTTCTTAGGGGGTTCAAAAGAGCCCCCCCCCCGGTCCCCCCATGTCACAAAAAGCCCGGTCTAGGTAGGGTTAAACTCTCCTGCGACTCCCGGGCACTACTGTTGTTCTGTCTGGATCTTCCAAAGACTCTATGATTGCCGCCCTGTCTTTGGAATTTTCTTTGCTCTTGTTGCTCCAAATTATCCAGACTATCCCACTCGAAACAATGCTAAACCACAGAAATACAAAGCTGGTAACTCGAATCGAATCACAGGACGCAGTGTATGAAGCAAACAACAAGTAATATTTGTACACTAGATAAATTAGTATAAAATCAGGCAAATGTACATGTAGATTGTCTTGTTCAAAGACTGACGTGTTGTTCACAGGACTAGGATGTATTGTAATATGCCAGGATTAACCCACGAGGTAATCTCATTACATTTTTGGTCTAATTTGCATAATCAAATTGAAATTGTCATGATTCCCTAGTGGTTAATGACGAGAGTTTCATATAAGTTGGTTAGATATGTAAGTTAGGCAAAACTTAACATCACTATGCATTAATTCTGTAGTGTAAATGTGCATAATCAACAATGAAATGTTAACATGGAGTTCTGCTAAAGGATAGGACTTCCTCACATACAAAATATGGAATCAGATAGAGAGGACCATCAATTGGAATAGATTATGTTAATTACAACCTCATATTTTATAGAATTAAGGCAAAATAAACAACAAAATTTATAAAAGCAATAAATATTTTATGGAGGTTTAACCTCCTGTTTGCTATCTTACAGTAGTACATATATTTTTATTTTCATACGATTGTTTACAGTCCATCTTCTGTTAAGCTCATTGTAGTTTCTTTCGTATACACAGACTCATGTTCTTGACATTACATAGCATTTATGCTTTATCAAACCAACTCATACAGTGTTAAGCATTTTGCGTATCCAACAAACAACGCAGATGTATTGCTGTTATGTTTCTACCAGTAACAGTTTCCCTAATCTTTCAAATGATTTTAAATTACTTCTCAGTAATATATATATATATATATATAATTACAGTCATCTATTTTATTATTATAACAAGAAGCTGTACGCATCTTTTATTTAGTGTTAACCACCAGAATGTCATGTGAAAAACAACAACCAGTAATACAACTAGTATAGCATGTGCAAGTATATAATTTGTTAGACGTGCGTTATTTTTCCTTGTAAAGTACTTGTACAGCATTACGCTACCATATTCTCATCAAAGAAATTTAAAGTGTGTACAACTCAGAAAAGTGCTTGCTTATCACATTTCGTACAATTTCAGGCCTTTTGTTTCAAAGTCAACTTTTCTACAAAAAAACATTGGATACCGTGTCACAATAGTGATGAGAGGCCTAGGCACGTCCTGTAAAGAAATAAACGAAAAAGTTACTATTGATAACAAGGGGGAATAGATAGCCTTCACGTAAAGAAGATACAAATGTAAGAAGGGAACGAGAATCATTTGAAATGTGCATGTCTCTTGTATCAGTAAATGATATTTTTGTGTGAAGTACCTCCTGCGACCTGGCAGATGAAGCGTAGTCCGTAGCTGCATGGAACGTTCCACCACTTTGCAATTGGTTTCCCGGATTTGTAAGCGACGCAGTTTCCCCTCCAAAAATGTTTATTTGGTAGTCCCGGCGCCCACGAGTTGTACTTCCCAAGTGTAGAACCATCCACCCACACAAAGTTTCCCTCTTTGCGCTGATCATGCAGGCCAATCCAATGGGAAAAACGCTTGGCACGTGTGGACATCAAAGTGATGAGAAAGTCGTTGGTAGCAGCGTCTCGGGGCATGGCGAGGGTGCCGCCTTCTTCACCACAGGTCGCAGCCGCTTCCTTGAAATTCTTCCTTGTGGTAAAGGCCTTGTAGCAGTTTCCACGCCACTCTCTAAAACCTCTGTGACAGACAACTTGAAAAATATTTTTAAAAATATATATGCACCCTTGAAAAAAAACTCTACTCAAGTCAGGTTACGGTAAGGCCTGGTATCCAGTCTATCGTAGTTGGGGCTCCAATAGTTTTTCCCCGCCCAGCTCAACAGACCGCCCGGTAGGAGTGATCCTTTCCGTCTAAACCTTACGTTACTCTCTCCTCTCCTTTACCTTTACATCTTACTTATACGCAGTTTGGCCTTTAATTTCTGTTTGGCCTGTATCTCTTCTGGAAAAGTCCGCCAAATGATTAAACTTTTCCCTTTGTCGGCCAAACTGCGTGTCTCTGTCCTTTGTCTTGGTTGGTGATAATTGTGGAAAAATGTCTGGCAGTCGTGGCCCGGTAGGAGTGTGATGGGGAGAACCTAGGCTTAGGCGGGTGGGGAAGAGTTTCAGCAGCTCCGAAGAAAATTCGCCTCAACCACGATAGACTGAATGGTTAGGTTACGGAGGCTTCGCTGTAGGGTCTTATCTAAAACTTACTATGTAGTACATGTATCTTCCTTTCAGGATGTAGATGTGTGTGTGTGTTTGTGTGTGTGTGTGTGTGTGTGTGTGTGTGTGTGTGTGTGTGTGTGTGTGCGTTCATGACTGAAGTTTGTAATATGCGCTTGCCACAATTACGTAATAGTAACTCCAAATAATTATGATTAATCGAAGAGACAGGAAGTGCGCATGCAGTACACTATATTTAGGAAATAAAGACTGAACTGTAACTTCCAACACTAGGTATAGAATTGGGACTTACCCCAAATTTTCGGTTGACTCCATCAACCTTGTTCACGGAATGGACAGACCTACCCTGAACAGACACGGGGGGCGACACAAGTTATCTGGCACGTATGACCCGCTACTACGGTCACGTGTCTCTGTCGTCACGTTCCAAGAGTAGACGGGTCCATTCCGTGAACAAGGTTGATGGAGTCAACCGAAAATTTGGGGTAAGCCCCAATTCTATATCTAGTGTTGGAAGTTTAAGTTCAGTCTTTATTTCATAATGATTTGTACCAACACAGATGAACTTTCATGCTACACTATATTTAAATTTGCCAGGACAAGAAGTTATGCCTTACCATCATCCGAACGGGATGTTTGAGGTTTAGGTAGTCCAGCATGGCACACTGATCTTCCTGGTGGCCCGGGAGGACCCATCAACCCTCGTGGCCCGATCGGTCCTTTGAGCCCCCTCTCCCCAGGAGGCCCGACAGACACGGGACCAGCGGGCCCCATAGCTCCCTTTTCTCCTGGAGGTCCAGGAGGCCCGACAGACACGGGACCAGCTGGACCTATGGCTCCCTTTTCTCCTGGAGGTCCAGGAGGCCCGACAGACACGGGACCAGCTGGCCCCATAGCTCCCTTTTCTCCTGGAGGACCAGGAGGTCCGATAGAACCAGGGCCACTAGGCCCGCTGGCTTCCTTTTCTCCTGGAGGGCAAGGAGGCCCACGAGGCCCGATAAATCCATGGCCAGTGGGCCCCAACGGTCTCTCTCTCTTTCCAGGTCCGGCAGGTCCAGTCACTCCAGCGTGGACTTCTTGCAGGACGGGAGGGCAAACATGGAGCTTAGACTATCTCCCACAACGGTAAGGAAACTACTGACGAAAAAAACCATACCTCCACATATAGAATACACGACTTTGCCTGATACAAGACTTGAGAAAACCGAGAGTGAATACTTAGCGGGGATTAAGCGGTTGAATTTAGCCTATTTGAGTTCATTCCAGGCTAAATTCAAACAGTTTGTGCCCGCTAATCATTAATCCGGTTTAAAAAAAAAGTCTGGTATCAAAAACGGGAAGATTCTGGTTTCAAATTGGTATGAACGACATCATAGGACACTGGCTTACCTTTCATCTTGCCAAGTCCCAGCGCTGTCATCCTGTCCCGTTCGCCCACCTTATCAGAAAGCGTTAATAGTCCCTCAGAAAGTTTCAACACTTTCACAGACAGTTTTGCCAGGTCGTTAGAAAGGGTGCTGACTTTCACTGTTAAAAAAAATACACAGTTACGTTTTTATCAGTTTTGCCGCAACGCTGTATACTCTAACTGAATAGGGATCATCCTTATATAAAGTACTTCAGGTATCGGCTGTAACGGATACAAAGAGCGGACCTGCAAAATACATCAGTTAAATGCCAGGTTGCTCTAACTGAACACGGGTTTACATATGTAACGGATACGAACAACTGACCTCCATGAATAGTTTAATTATTAGGTTCAACTTGGTAAATCACTGAGACTATTTGACGCAACCAAGAGGCCTTATTCAGCCGACGTCTCGGTGACGTTCTCGGGGCAATTCTGACTGGTTCAAATTTCACAGCACATATACAGGAATCACTTCTGATATATCTTAACATACAGTTACAGGGGACGTTATATACAGTGCGGTCCCAAACATACAGTAGTGTAATATACATAAATAGTGTTTTCATTGGACAAGAAAAAAACAAGGCAAACTAGAAAAGCCAACATTTGCTTTGGAGCAAATTCAGCATGACTTCACCACATTTCACGACATGGCAGGGAAAGAAGGAGAAATACAAGAAAAAAACAATTCTTTACATTGATATAACTATAGTATTAAGTGACAACAGTTGGATAGCTATCCCTTACGTTATTGGTTTTAATTGCATAATGCAAACTGTTGATTTTCAAAGATAAAAAGAAGCATCTATGCATTTATTAAGCCTGACATACCTACCAAAACACTTGAATAAAGTTCATACTGTCAATATGGCATGGCATTGTATAATTGTTAATTGAGTTAACCCAATCAGATCCGAACAGCCAATCAGCAAGGAGAATAGAGGAAAGCTGCATGCCTATTGGTTGCCTGCTCTACATGCCATTCTGATGACTCATGCCCAAACATAGTAACACACTGCTATGTAGTACATTGTCTATAACAACCAAAAAGCTCAAATAAAACCATTCTAAAAGCCTGTATCACAAAAATGAAAAAAAAAGCCTGGGGTATTTGCCCACTCTACCTTCATGCCAAATTTCATGTTATTTGACCCAAAAATGAAGGAGTTGAATCAATTTAAAGAAATTGCAGGAGGAGAAGAAGAATCGTGAGCAAAAACAATATGACTTCATCCAGAAGTCATAATTAAAATCTACTTCTTAAGAATGCGGTCCCAAATGTGACTGGCTCTGTATCCCTCCTCTCGACGGTTCACAAGAGTTAATTTCAACTGACCTGCAAAATACGGCATCAGGATGGCGACTAGTAGGCCAAACAAAAGGCCAGCGACTTGCAACAGCTTCTTCCGGAGGTCGCGACATTTTGTCTTCTTGGCAGCGTCAGCATCATAAGCTGCATCTGTTTGAAGAGCAAGATGGTTTCTTTCTTATGGTTTGAAGAACAAAGTTTCTTATCACAAACTACGTACGCGTGCAATGTGGACACACAAGTGAACGAGAGTTGCAGTTCAAACTATACCTAAATTATTTTGAGAAAGAGGCAAAGGTTTTATTTTAAAACCTTGGTTATCTTTTCGTTATCTTTTCACAGATACCCCTGGTCACATTTTTGGTCACCAATTTTTAATCATGCATCCAAACTCAGTCTTCATGGACCATTACAGTATGTAACAATGGCACATTTTTTTCTTCGTCCCATGCCACACATCATTCAATGAGAAAATTGCATACGCAATACAATCTATTGGCGTCAAATAAACAGCCAAGAGACACCCCCCTCCCTCAATTAAAGCAAGCTGCATTATGTAACATCAGGGCGATACAAAGAGTGAATTTTCTGTTCATTTCTTTACAAAGTAAATTGAATCATCCCTATTCCATTGAAAATAAGTGCCATTCAGGAAGTGGAGGTGCCAAAACATGACGCCTTACGGGTGTGTAAAAGTTGGAAACATAGCGATAATTTTTTTTACATTCTGGTAGTTTGTGGTGGCACCAAAAACAGAGTGTGCCTCATGTGGGTTGTTTAAGAAATGTCAGAAATGTGAGATAATTGCACAAATATGTTGAAAAGTAAATTACAAATTACACGAATATTTTTTTTCAATTTTCAAAGTAGTTTCAGTGAGCAACGAATGTTGTAATAGATGGCAGTATACATAGCACAATACATGTATATGTATCATTTCTTGTTTAACAAGATTTGTGATGTCAATATATAGTAATCTTGTTGTTTGTTTTTTTTTGTTTGTTTGTTCTTTGCCTGCCTTGTTTTGTTTTCACCCTATAGCATTAGATTTGTAGTCTACGGAGGATGTCATCCATAAAATTTCTTTGCTGTGGCCTAAGAGTACTACGAACGCCAGTGTGGCCATAAAATATATTACCTGCTCTGGTGACGTACATGGGGTTAGGTGTACTCGCGGCGGCGTCAGCAACTGACGTCCAATCAGTCTGGGCCTGCTGCGTGGGCTTGGCGCCTGGCGAGAAAACTACAGTAACTGTAAAATATGCTGAAATATCTTCAAACTCTGATGCTTAACATCGGGTTATCAAATACAGCACAGCAAATAACAAGTCTTGCATCTTTATTCAATCGACCAGTCACTTTGGGCATGGGATAAAACAATTGGTCAAATGATCCAGGAAGTAGTGTCACAGGTCATTTGAACCTGATCAAGACTGCACTACGAGTATATGGTCTTTTACACAAGATAAACACAAAGAAACACAATTTATGGGGCAATGAAGTTGAAACGTGCCACGGTTTCAAACATTATTACACGACAAATTTTACAAAGGGTGCATTGATTAAACAATGATATTATTATTCAAGTATCTCTATATAACGGTCCAAATATTCATTTCATTTCATTGTCTATTCTGGCTGGAAGATTAGATATAACCAAACGGGACGTGGCCAATTCCCACAGTCAGATTACTCTTGAATATGAAATTAGCCAATCTGTAAACACAACAACTACAGCTATTAAATAGTCGGCTAGCATGCACAGTGCTAAAAAAGCTTTTCAGTATCCTACAATATTGAAGAATGTCAAAGTTTTGTTCTGCAATTCAGAAATACTTTCTGCAAATAAACATCTATACCTCTGGACCTGAATCCATGCATATATGGCATATACAAATTTCCATGTTGGCATTTACATGCAATTTGAAAAATACATGCAATAATACTAGTTTATCGTAGAGTCAGTAGTAAACACAACAGCTCTTGGAATTATAAAAACAACAAGTCTCTGAATTATGAAAATCAGTGAGGTAAACATTATTGCAAGAGACATTTGAGAACCATGTTACCTCCTGTTCTCCCTGTCCGGGACTGCTGCTGCCCTGCCGACATGTCTGCCACTTGTCAGGTTTTTAGACAGCAGAAACACGTCCTGCACCAGGCAAGGCGCGCGTCGATATAAGCGTGCCTCAAAACCCAAAGCACGGTTCACTTTTGATTAGGCCACAACAACATTTTGATGGATGACATCAGCCCGCGCATTAATTTTCGCCTGAATTTGGGAAAAAAAGAAATTTTGTTGTCCTCTGACAGTGGTCAACATGCCAAAAATGGGCAAAGATGTCTGTTGCCATGCCGAAACGTGTCATCGAAAAGTCATCATGGTACATGAACATGAAGAGAGGAGACAAGACAAGGCTCTGATTCAATGTTTTGTCTTTTACTTTGATGCAGTCATGTATTTCATTCCTTTGATATGTGCTGTTGGCTGTGTATATGATGGTCTCATTGAATCAAAACCATTTGTACATAAAACTTTTATTTTTCAAAGTTTTTTTAGTGACAAATGAATGTTCTAATATTTGGCAGCAAACTTATCAAAATAAAGGTATCATTTCTTGTTTAACAAGGTTTATGGTGTCAAAATTGAAAATGGAGGAATCTTGTATTTTTGGCCCGCCTTGTTTTCTTCTCGCCCTATATTGCATTAGATTTTAAGTCTGCGGAGGATGTCATCCATAAAAATTACCTGCTGTGGCCTTATTACCAGAACTAACAGAAAACACAAGATTGAAACTTACTATATTGGATTGGCTACACTCGTCACATTTTGAACAGTTCAGACAAATCATATTATCAACTAAATGCCTTTATTTAATGCTGAAACATGCTTGAAAAAAATAATCATTCTAGATCTGTTGACAAACGGGGCATATTGTTTATTGTGTACATTTATGCATGATTGTTATCGAGAAAAACAGTTTTACGATTATAAATCTACTGCGGCAACCGTAAATACGTGAGGCATACATCTTTGGAGAATGTTACGCAGCAAACATATTTTGTACACCGACATTACAACGTACAAACTATTTTCTCATCGTTGTAGAATCGTCATTTGCGATGTTTCTGTAAGATATCCGTGGCAGAAGAATGTTGCTGTATAAAATACACACTTCTTCCTTTCTGCAGCTAAGCAATTTAACCCTTCTACTCCTACTTGTTCCAATCACGCACACATTGTACTACAAGTCCTTTTTACCTCCATGAAAAATGGAGGTATTGTTTTTGGCGTGTCTGTCTGCATGTCTGTGTGTGTGTGTGTGTGTGTCTGTGTGTCTGTGTTTCCGCAACTTTGTAGTCAGCATAACTTCAGAACTCCTTTATGGATTGTTATGAAATTTGGTATGATGGTAAGTCTTGGAAAGACTAAGGTCAAGGTCAAGTATGGGCCTCCTGGTGGATGACCTTGGTACTGCAGCAGAACTTCCGGTTTTTGTATCTTTTGTCCTGAACAAGCTATGGTCTTGACTTTTTGGTGACAGATAGCTTATCTTGTCACGAATAAGTGGCGTAAGTTTGGTCCCCCTAGCAGCTTGTTCTGGAACTGCAGGTTAGTTTCTGGTAAAAACTTTCAAAGCCAATAAGTCCAGATTGGAACAACGTATTTTCATCATTTTTGGTGTGTAGGTACCTGAGAGACAGTTGTACATGATTGAATATGCTAATAATTCAGTCATTAAAATCTTTAAAAAGTGGCTAGAATATTCCTTTAGTTAGTATCTAGCCAAAATGGTTAAAGTTTACCTATTCGCTATTGTAAGCACTATTCACATGACATTAATCAAAATGCCAAACAAATGGAAAAACCTGGAATTTGTTTATATTCAGACTCTTTGTTTTGATCCGTCCATGTTGGGGCAATTCTTGTGTTGGCGGGCCATGTTTTTGACTATGAAGTTGAAATATGAAATATTGGAAAAGTTGTTCCAGATTATTTCCAGTTTTGGCAACAAAATACTAGACTAAGTGTATATAAATATGAGCCTAAAGACTAAGTAGATAAGCAAGAAGCCTAATATTCACAACTTGAGCCTGCTTTCAAAGCAAGGAATTATACAATCCTCTATTTCTGTCCAACAGTACCCATTCGGTAATTATTCAGCTCCAGGTACAATTGTTATGCGGGATAAAACTAGGTTAGCTATTGTTCTTGACATGCAAATGTCACTGTCCAATTATCAACTTGATACAAATTATCCTATAAGGGAGTATTGGGTTACATGCCAAGTTACTGGTAGTATCTCGGCAGCTTGTACTGGGTCACCCAGGAAAAGCCAGAAAGATAGCCCATGTGAAAACTTAAGAACAATGTAATTGTTAAAGACATTACCAACACAATTGACTATTTGGCCCTTCACCCAGTCAGATTTTCTGCTATCTGGCACCTAACATTGCACTTGGCCATGGGTTTATAGATACATGTAGTAGTATGTGTATTTTTGTTTGCTGCATTGACTGTTAGCACCTATGAAGTATAAAAACATAATAGCAATGGTTTCTTAACAGATTTTATTATGATGCATACTTTTCAAAGTCTGAGTAAGTGCAAGCAAGATTTGTCTTCTTTGTCTGGTGCAGGTAATGTTTACTGCACCAGTGCAGGTATGCTGTGAAAAATATTTTGAGCCCTGGGGTATTCTGCGAATGATAGATGAGTTCATCCATGGAGTTTGAAAAGTTGTTATTTTTTTCATTCATTCTTTATTTCAGGTTAAAAACCCATATAACATGTACAATACATCATTAAAATAATACAAAAAACACTACAGACATACAAGTAAAACAGGAAGAAACCTAAAAGCATAACAAATGGTAGGTCTTCCGAAAGAATGAATTCCTGTAGAAGGCATCGGAATGAATTAAGCGACAGATTGTTGCGTTATTGGAGGAAAATAACCTTTTTAGAAAAGAATAACAAATTCTCCTCCTCCTGGTTTCAAAAGTGTCAATATAGTTACAGACAAACATTTCACTCGCGCTGCAACGCCGAGGCAGATTCATTATGATTCTAAAACAATTGTTATAAGCCACTCTGCACTTATACAAAACACCAGAGCTTACAGAGCTCCATAACTGGGCGCCATATAGCTGGGCGCAATACGTCATAAACAGGTGTCTCTTAACAGATGGAGAGCAACAGAAAAATTTGCGGTTGATACTGTTTGCACGACTATAAAGACTCTTCAGCATAGCAAGTACACAATCATCGTCACTTAATGTGGTATTTAGATGTATACCCAAATAGACAAATGAGTTTACGTACTTCAGGTTGGTACCGTATAGACTTACAGGTGGCAATGGAAGCTGAAGTGGCAAACGGGTACATGTTTATCATGTTATCAAAGTTTATTAAATTTTTAGCCATATCCAAACTCTATTCTTAGTCTTAGCCAGGTTAGAGGTTATAACCTCCTTGCTAGAATTCATCCTACAGTGAGCTAGGTATTGTTGGACAAAGACTAGATTTTTAACCTCCTTGTTAGGACCTACAGGATTGTACACGTCATGTACATACATGTATATATGGCACTCATGTGGAGCAGGTTGACTGGTCAATCATATCCATTCCTGCCATGTGAGATCTCCATGACTCATTTGTATCTTTGAAAAGACAATGTTCTTTCATAATCCTGGAAAATACAGTCTAGAAAAACTGCAGGAATACACACAGAACTACAATTAGGCCATGTTGATTTGATTATATGGATGTCATCCGTGCGCGCATGAATTTTCGGCCATTTCCAAAAAAAAAAAGTTTTCAACCATACTGTAAATCGTACAAAACAGTTGCAAAATGAGCAAAAATATACCATAAGTTACAAAAAAAATTAATAAAAACTATACCAAGGTCGTAGAATGCCAAAATCAAACGAAAAAAGACGAAATTGTAAAGAAATGAACTTGAAGACTAGATTATTCGCCAAACCATATTCTGTACCATTTGCTCAACCCTCATGACCACGTAGATTTCATAATGAAAAGAACTTTTTTTTTTGCAAAACTTTTTTTTTATTCGCACGCGCGCATCAGTTTTGGGGCTCCCGGAGGATGTCATCCATATAATCAAATCAACATGGCCTTATAATGAAGTGATATAATAAACTGTGTATAATAATTTCAATAAACTGTGTATAAACCGCCATCAACCTAGAAGCAAGTTTAATGTTAATCTTTTAAACTTCATTGGGAAATTACTTTCAGTCTGGTCTGAAGGCTTAGGCCATTAGCCCAGCCTGTTGATCCTGACACACTGACGGGGCTGTTTAACACACCGACGGGGCTGTTCAACCCCGTCGGGGTAACCTTTGAGCCCAGACTTCTCATGAATTATCACACAAACTTGCTAATTACACTGGTGTGAAGATGTGAATTCTCATTAATTCAGTGTTTTTCATGGGGTGTTCATGAGGATAATTGGATGCGGTCTGGGTGCGGGGTGGCTTTCCACCCCGACGGGGTAGAGTTTACTCCCGACCGGGGTGGGCTTCTGATCCCGTCGGTGTGCCTTGTACACCGACGGGATTGCAATTTTTAAAGTGAAATATCTTGACAAATATGTATGTTTTGACCATAAAAAAATAACCTGGTACTGAGGATAACATGATCTTTCAAATGGTATGTAAAAATTTACTGTACCTGCAGAAATGGCAAAGTTAAAAATCAGGGATTTCAACATGGCCGTCTGCAAATTCGGAAAGTGACATTCCAAAATTGAAGTGACCAGTGTTAATTACATTACTAAAAGGAGTCAACTTCGAAGAAGACAAAACAACTAACCTAATGTTCTGCTACACTATATATCTATCGTTTACAAAGAATAGAACATATACAAGGCTTCAGTAGCTGTTTACATCGTGTATCTAGATTTAGGGCACCGACAATAGAATTATGTATGTCCATGTATAAGTATATCGTACACTCTAATACAGAATTAACATTTTCTACACGGTCGTTGTTACATAATATACAAAGTCTGGCGTTCCGAGGCGTACGGTTGTGTTTTCCTACTATTAAGAACAGTCAAAGGACAATGTGACCCGTTACACTAAAGTTCAACTGAGGACAACGATCCGCGGTTCGAAAAGTTGTTCCAGAACGTAAAAACTCCCGGTGTTCCAGACTAGCAACGGCGTTCGACGAAAACTGTTTACAGTTACCAGTTGGCTGTTCGAAGCGACGGACGTACATTTTGGCTGCTCCGACGATATGTCGAGACGACGTGGCCGGCGAAGGAACCGGCGGTCCCGCGGCCGGGCGGTAACCTTCCCGTACTGCCCTCTCTCAGATAACCATGCTGACAAGAAGGGTGGTCGACAGTGGTTCTTGAAAGCCGCCGCGATCACGGTTTTGATACTCGTTGCTGTAACTTCGGTAAGTTTTCTACCAAAACAATTTATGATTTCGGTCGTGAAAGTTCATCTGTGTTAATTAGTAGTTACATGTTTAAAGTTAAAACTTAACTTTGTTCCAACACAAGAAATAGTTCTCTCCTAGAGCTTTAAAACAGTCACTCTGGTCTTCTTTCAAGGATTTAGATGTTCAAAAACTCGTTTTCTCTAGTTAGAACTACTGTGGAGTTGAACTAGCTGCCACTCAAGTAGAGTAGGGGCAGCATCACTAGACAGGCTTTAAATAACGTTTAGGCCACACCGATGTAATTTTTTGGATGACATCCTCTGAAGACCCCCAAACTAGTGCGCGCGGGCGAATAAAAAAAAATTCCGGCCAAAACTAAAAATGCTACTAAACCACAGGAATACAAAGCTGGTATTGTGAATTTGCGGCAGTACTTGGCAACGTATACGACATGCTGGCTTTTTGCGGCATTTATGAATCGGTACTGTACTTATGTACTTTCTTGAGTCGCGAAGCTTCGAATTCGATAGCCTGGGTGCTCGGCTCCGTCTTGTTGCTAACTACCATGGACTACCCAGGCCTAGAGCCAGGCCAGAGCCTCGGTGGACGTAATCTTTCTTTTTTTTTTTTGAGGGTGACAGGCGAAAATCAATGCACTCACGGATGTCATCCATGAAATTAAATCAGTGTGGCCTTACCGTGAGTAACATGTGTAAACAATATAATAACGAACATGATACGTCTAGGTTTTGTTGTATTTCTTATACTAAATATAATCTGCCTTACTCTTTTTGACATTTGAAAAGAAGTTTTCAAGGGATTCAGAGTTATTTCCGAGTCAAATCTTCGAAGCCACACAGGCCTAGGTCCGTATGCTGACCATGAATCTTTTTCCCTTAGGTTGCTGGTGTGGTTATGACCGCACAGTCCCTCTCCAATACTGGTGAGGATAAGCCTACCACCAACCTTCCCCCGTGCGGGAGCAAGGGAGATGACCAAGCAGGAAGCGGAGATTCAGAAGGTCTCTCCCCGTACGTATACAGCGGATGGACAGGAGTCCAGGTGAAGCCGCGCGACTTCGTTGAAAACGACACTGAAATTCACAACGGTCCGGACGGCATGGCCTCCACTGATGCCCATCTGACCCCCGATGCTATGGTAAGAAAACAATTTTGACTTACTTGTTATGTCCAGGTCATACATTTGTCGGCTTTGTAGGGAAACGTGAAGGTTTCCTTGGAAGCATTTTTGAATCACACAAAATGAAGGTTTGTTGTTCATTTAAACTACATACACCATTAGTAATACATAACAAATACCTTTCAGTATAAGCATCAGAGCTGTTGCACATTGTATTTTCTCTAAAATAACGCAAAGTAAACGTATACGGCATTTAGAAGTCAGAAAAACCTATTTTATCATTAAGTCAATATCTTAAAGAAATGCACAAAACTTTTTGGAGAAAGCCATTTAGTGTTCGCTTTCTTTTGTTTGGAATTAGCCTTTGGGTATGGTTTTGCAATTTGATTATTATTATGGGTTCACCACACCACGAAGTGGTGGTGAACCCATATTGCTTTTTCTGATGTTTCTTCTTCTTCTTCTTCTCCTTCTCCTGCCATTTTTTAAATGGATTCAGCTTCTTCATTTTAGGGCCTAAGGTCCTGAAATTTGGTATGGAGGTACAGTGGGCAAATACCCCTAGGCGTTTTTTAAATTTTTGTGATACAGGCTTTTAGAATGGTTTTATTTGAGTTTTTTGGCTGTGTTATAGCAAATGTATTACTGTGTTAGTGTGCCGTGTTTACCACGTCTGGGCATGAGTCATCACAATGGAATGCAGGGCATCAACCAATAGGCATGCAGCTTTCCTCTATACTTCTTGCTGATTGGCTGTTGGGATTTAACTTGATTAACACCTGCACAGAGCATTTCCACCTGCACAGAGCATTTCTTGCTGATTGGCTGTTGGGATTTAACTTGATTAACACCTGCACAGAGCATTTCCATACTGACAGTATGTCTTTATTCAAGTGTTTTGGTAGGTATTTCAAGCTTTTCTGCTCCAGCATTGGAATGCGGGGCATGAACGTTTTTTTTTTTTTTTTGAAAATCAACAGTTTGCATTATGCAATTAAAAATCCTAACCAATAAAGTAGGGAATAGCTATCCAACTGTTGTTTTAGTTGTATGTTACTTCATATTATAGTTATATCAATGTAAATCATTGTTTTCCCTTGTGTTTCTCATTCTTTCCCTGCCATGTCGTAAAATGTGGTGAACCCATCGCTGTATTTGCTCCAAAGCAAATATTGGCCTTTCTAGTTGTAAATATACACTCTCTGACACTTTGTATACGTACTGAATTGCAGGTACCCGTTAGCATGACCCCTCCGACAGGCCACACAGAGAATGCCCGAGTTCCTGACAACCAGACGGAGACTTTCCGTTCTGAAGGCTGGAAGCGGTTCCGTGTCGAGCAGAATCACACGGAAGGCGTCGACAGTACCACCGAGGTCCCAACCGTCCCACCACATGTAGTTGGTGACGAGGAGGGAGAAGAAGTGGCCCACGACTGGGGCTACACAACCGGAGAAAACCACTGCAACAACGTCCGAGTACGCCGCCGCGTTTCCAAGGTATTATTATTATCATTGATACACTCTTGACCGTCTACGACACTTCACTTTAAATCCGTTAAACAATACATAAATGTTCCGTTTCTTCTCTCACTTGTACCTTTACATATCCTTTAAGATGTGATTAAAGATGGGATTTTATACAGTGCTTATAGTATTACTGAATTGCAGGTTCCCATGGACATGACTCCTCCGACAGACCACGCAGAGAGTGCCCGAGTTCTTGATAACCAGACGGAGACTTTCCGTTCTGAAGGCTGGAAGCGGTTCCGTGTCGAGCAGAATCACACGGAAGGCGTCGACAGTACCACCGAGGTCCAAACCGTCCCACCACATGTAGTTGGTGATGAAGAGGGCGAAGAAGTGGCCCACGACTGGGGCTACACAACCGGAGAAAACCACTGCAACAACGTCCGAGTACGCCGCCGCGTTTCCAAGGTATTATTATTATTATCATTGATACACTCTTGACAGTCTACGACACTTCACAAAATCCATTAAGCAATACATAAATGCTCCGTTTCTTCTCTCACCTGTACCTCTAAGTATTCTTAAAGATGTGCTTAAAGGTATGGTATTCTGTACAGTGATTCCTACTCACTTGCAGGTACCCGTTGGCATGACTCCTCCGACAGACCACACAGAGAATGCCCGAGTTCCTGATAACCAGACGGAGACTTTCCGTTCTGAAGGCTGGAAGCGGTTCCGTGTCGAACAGAATCACACGGAAGGCGCCAACAGTACCACCGAGGCCCCAACCGTCCCACCACATGTAGTTGGTGACGAGGAGGGAGAAGTGACCCACGACTGGGGCTACACAACCGGAGAAAACCACTGCAACAACGTCCGAGTTCGCCGCCGCGTTTCCAAGGTATTATTATTGATACACTCTTGACCGTCTACGACACTTCACTTTAAATCCGTTAAACAATACATAAAGGCTCCGTTTTTTCTCTCACCCGTACCTTTACATATCCTTTAAGATGTGATTAAAGATGGGATTTTATACAGTGCTTATAGTATTACTCACTTGCAGGTACCCGTTGGCATGACTCCTCCGACAGACCACACAGAGAATGCCCGAGTTCCTGATAACCAGACGGAGACTTTCCGTTCTGAAGGCTGGAAGCGGTTCCGTGTCGAGCAGAATCACACGGAAGACGTCGACAGTACCACTGAAGAGGCCTCAACCGTCCCACCACGTGTAGTTGGTGACGAAGAGGGAGAAGAAGTGGCCCACGACTGGGGCTACACAACCGGAGAAAACCACTGCAACAACGTCCGAGTTCGTCGCCGCGTTTCCAAGGTATTATTATTGATACACTCTTGACCGTCTACGACACTTCACTTTAAATCCCTTAAACAATACATAAATGTTCCGTTTCTTCTCTCATTTGTAGCTTTACGTATCCTTTAAGATGTGATTAAAGATGGGATTTTATACAGTGCTTATAGTATTACTGAATTGCAGGTACCCATGGACATGACTCCTCCGGCAGACCACGCAGAGAATGCCCGAGTTCCTGACAACCAGACGGAGACTTTCCGTTCTGAAGGCTGGAAGCGGTTCCGTGTCGAGCAGAATCACGCGGAAGGCGCCAACAGTACCACCGAGGCCCCAACCGTCTCACCACGTGTAGTTGGTGACGAAGAGGGAGAAGAAGTGGCCCACGACTGGGGCTACACACCCGGAGAAAACCACTGCAACAACGTCCGAGTTCGCCGCCGCGTTTCCAAAGTCCCCTTCCCGGCGACAGACGACAGCTCCGCCACTAGGGCGACTCATCTGGAGCCCAAGCCGAACTGCTCACTTGACACGAAAGTCAGTGGCGACGTCGACAGCATGGGCACTGACCGCACTGGTGCTATGGACAATGTCTTCACGAAGAACTCTACAGACATGAATCTGTACTTGGATGCCGTGCTGACAGACATTATGAAGAGCCACAAGAGAAAGCACCGCAGCGGGCTGGAACGTATCAAACGGAGCAAAGCCATCATCGTGCTGACCGCAGTTGGTGTGCTGAACGCTGGCTCTGTGGGACACGTCTACTTGCGACAAATTGTACCGTTCTGATATACTGCTGATGAAATTATACCCCGCCATATCACCAAAGCACTATTTCTACTTGGATATTTGGATTTCGAAGCCAATAGCTTCATACACATTCAAACTTTGTTTATTTTATCCTTAAAATATATGGAACGTACCCGTGACCTGACCTTACTCACAAAACAATTTTTTCGTGCGAAACAAAAGCTGCAGTTTTCTTTTACATCTTGTATGGACAGGTCCTACAGACCTACAATGTAATTTCATGCAGCATCCGTTTCTACGAATAAGAAAACAGTCTTGCGGGGAAAATGTTGTCTTATTTGTCGTCAGTGTCATGTTCAATACCAAGGGCAGGTATGCTTGCCTGTGTGTGTAGATTGTGTTCAGTACAAAGGAAAGGCATGTTTGCTTGTGCGCAGATGGTGTTTAGTACCAAGGACAGGTATGCTTGCTTGAGTGTGGATTTCAGTGCCAAGGACAGGTATGCTTGCTTGAGTGTGGATTTCAGTGCCAAGGAAAGGTATGCTTGCCTGTGTGTGGATTTCAGTGCCAAGGAAAGGTATGCTTGCTTGTGTGTGGATTTCAGTGCCAAGGAAAGGTATGCTTGCTTGAGTGTGGATTTCTGTCCATGGTGCTGAACACACCATCTACACAAACACACAGAACACTAGTGCACAACACAATCTGCACAAACATCTGTCCATGGTGCTGAACACACCATCTACACAAACATACAGGACACTGGTGCACAGCACAATATGTACACACCCCTGTCCATGGTGTATGTGTACAGGTCACTATTGCTACTACTACTTATTGATGAGGAAGTTAGGAAACACATTGGCATGGCTAAGATGCGTCTTTATTGATTTCAACACTACAGTATCATTTATCCTGCACCCGTTACCCACATACTGAACATATAACATTCTTTTCAACACCACAAAATGGTTCTCTCCCCTTATAAACACCTTTAAATGCTATGTAACATAGAACAATCTGAAAGGCGCAAACTGTCCCCTATATGGTGTCAGAATAGACTAAACATCACGTACAAGCAAACTCAATTATAATGATAACAACAACAACACCATTTGCTCTATTGCTGATATAGGCCTTCTACCGGGCATCCATGTGATTATAATTGTTCTGCAGAAATTGCCTGATGCTGCAAGTATAAAATGTTTCTATCAATAGGCTCTTCTTGTACACCTTTTCTACCTTATGCTTCCACGTTCCTTAACGACTAGACATGTAGTACAACTAATATCTAATGTTAGTGTTTTCTCTCAACAACTAACCTTACATATTCTAACCTAACAGAATTTTTTTTGACTGCTTTTTTAGCTGCACCTGTATTGTCTACTCTACAAATACATAAACCATGAAAAAGGTGTTTTCTAATCAGGTAATGTTGCCTTCAGTTCACAAAGACCAACAATACGATTAACATGAACCTGCTTGTTTGCAAAAAAATGCCTGCACACTCAGATCAAGTTCCTTTCCTCAAAACAATAGTGACATATTGTTTCTGTCCGTACATAATCTTTTATCTCTTATTTATCATGTAGATAAATTCCCTGCTTAATGCACTGCTAGAAATACTACTTTGCCAATAAAATACTAAATGCTTCAACCAAAAACAATTAAACATCATAATCTATTCTATGAAGCAACTGTTTGCATTTGTAATTATTGGCAATGATATAGATAATTACTGCATCAGTGAATTTTTGCTGTCTTACATTTTGTGCTTATTGTTTATTGCATCACAGTGCCCAGCGAGTCATCCATAACTGAACAGTATAATTATTGTTATTATCAAATTCCTGCAAAAACCGTCACCCTAATTTACATTTTGGCTGGAATTTTCTCTAATCAAAGCTGTGTAAATATAAACTGTGTATCAGATAGCCTCTCCATAACCAGCAATTTAGAATATAAACATTTATCACTTTGGAGGAGATTCTACAATACTTTCAATAAAGGTACTGGCTTATAAATGACTAAATGCAAAATATGTGAAAGTGTGAAAAATCACAGGTTTGGTAACCCTGTTCACTGCATCACTCCCAGTAGTTGACAAGGTAGTTGATTTTCACCGTGATGGGTTCAGATTGGCTGTTGTGGTAGTGAACGACGTTGTCTCCACTTCCGAAGGTCCTGCGCTCGCCCGGCTGAAGCACGATCTCCTGGAACACTTTGTCGCCAACCTTCTTCCGCAGGTCATCAGTCATGGTCTCTGTCGAGGTACTGGTCCTCTGTGGAGAACATAAAACATTGAAAACATTTAACAAACAAATAAACTTAACACACATTTTTGGCTTTGACTTTTCGATATTCCTCCTAAAGCACATCAGACTGAGGACAAAACGGGAGAAACAGGTTCTTTTTGGAATCTACGTGGTGCATGGAATGAAATCAGTGAGAAATTCTTGGGCAATGCCTCAGGCAGAGTCGTTAGTATATTACTGACGTTGAGTTGTTGCAGCTTATGGTTATTATACACAGATCCTGAGGCCTAAACAGACCTTCAATAACTTGACTTCAATTGTTTTATTTTACGACACACGCTCAACTGAGAAAATATCTTTTTCAGTACATGTACAGAATACAATTTAAGTAATCAGAATGATTGGCAAACGAGGATTAAAAGAATTTCTTTAATAGAAAAGATGGGGTTGAACAGTGACCTCAGAGATGGCATTTTACTCAGCAATAGTTACCACTTTAACACAAAATTCGAGCTTGGTAATTTCTAAAATCAGAATCTGATATTGTACAGAGTTCAAACTTTTTAACACAAAACGTTTGTGACTCAAATCACTAGACTTCCTGGCAGTTGTGACTAATTGCTCACACCATGATCATGTGTCTGTACATGATCTGTGTGATTGGGCAATTGAAAGTAGATTTGATGCGCTAACTTGTTGAGTCAGAGCAAAGTTTTAACTCTGTACTACCAACACAGCAGGGTTCTAGCTAGGATTAAATTTTAGCTAGCGGTACTGGCAGCATGTCAAGGGAGCGAAGTGACCGAGAGGGGGGATGGGGCGGAGCTTTTAAAAAATTGAGCTAAAAAAGGGGCCATTTGAGGGTTACCCAAAGGGAAAAAATGTTATTTCTAAGGTATGTACAATGTATCCTTGATTGGTAATTTTTCACACTTGATCTGGCATTCTTGAACAAAGAAATACAGTCACAATGCCCGGGTCAAAATTATAGCATAGGGGGGAAATTTAGCGTATGGGGTCAAAATTATAGCGTAGGGGGCCCCTATGCTACTCCGCTCTAGCTAGAACCCTGCACAGACAAACTTTCAGGCAGATGTAGGATGTTCTTTTGTCCATTTTGTAGCCACAAACAAATAATAATAATAATAATAATAATCAAAACCAGGATAGTGAGTGAGTGAGTGAAACAACCAAGAAACTCAAAATATCTCCACATCTCTGTGATCACATATTTTGTCGGAAGGGAGGGTTAGATTACCATGCACAGGGTGGTCACTTGTTAATGAGAGCCTATGGACTCGACGGCCAGCCCTCTGCGAGGGTGTGCGCTTTAAAGGTGCCATTAATTTCAGGGTAGTAGAGTGGAACTGTGCAGAGACACACACGGGAAACCTTAGTCATCCAAAAAACAAATTCACCAACACCAAGAAGTTGGTATGATCATGTTTTCTAGGTGTATACATGTTATGAAGCCTAATTTGCTGAGTTTTTTTTTTAAATGTTTCTAAACACCACACCAATATCAGTAGAAGTCTGAAATAACTTGAAGATCCTTTAAGTGAGAGAGACTGCATGCAATTTAGTAGCAATCCCACCTATTTCATATTCTATGAACTCTCAGTACAATTATTTATAATTATCAAGGAAATGTTATAAGCTTTGCTATTTAACACCAGGTCCTATAATAATAGTACACCATAAATTGTTGCATTACCCCCTTTGATGGTATGGATGACTGGGGTTTCCATGAATTAACACTGTCTTTGTCTAATAATGCAGCTGCTCTATACAATGACTAGAAGTGCTACATATATTATATATAAATAAGACATATCAAAATATTAAATAGAACATGAAAGTTAAAGCAAAATTACAAATCAATACAGCTGTTACAGTAGGAAAATGAAAAAAAGGCATAAGACAAAATGAAAAGACTTTTCTAAGCACTCAGTCTTGTAGCATACTCTCTAATATGTTGCCAAGCCAAGCCAGAAACAAGCTAACACCAGCAGTTGGGCTAATCCAGAAATATCAGCAAAATATAAGAGTAGACTGTAATGCACCTACATGATGTAGCAGTTTGAGAGCTAAGAAGATGGTATCTAAATGACAAAGGTGACAACTGAATTGCTACTAGCTCCTGGACAAGGCAGCAGTTTTGCAGAACATAGTTTGCTGGCAATGATTGAATATTAGCGAGTTCAGAACACAGAGATAGTAGAGGAACAACACCGTCAACACAGCAAGCTATTACAAGACAGAGTTTACCAGCTTGATGAAGAAAGGTTTACAGATCAGCAGATCCAACAGAGTAACATGCTCTGGTGTAAAAGAGAAGAAATACGAAGGCCATCAGATTGTGTTAATAGTAGTTAGCAATGGTGTCCACCTGACGGCTTGGACTAGGCTGGACCCCAACCTCCTTGGTGACAGTACTCTTCTTCACACTGCTGACTGCTATGTCAAAGACACCATGGCCGGATCCTCCACCAAGGAACTGGTTAATGCTGGAGCCTCCTCCAAGGCCTCCAGCGCTCCCACCAGCACCACTAGTACTGGTTGTCTGGGAGATATATCCACCACTAGAGCTCTGGCCGATACCACCGTATCCACTGCCAGTGCTCTGGGTGATACCACCGTATCCAGTACCAGTGCCCTGGCCGATACCACCGTATCCACTGCCAGTGCCCTGGCCGATACCACCGTATCCACCACCAGTGCCCTGGGCAGTACCACCATATGTACCACCAGTACCACCAATGGTCTGGGAGCCATAGACAGTTTTGCTGGACTCAGTGTACTGGTAGGTACTGATCGTCTGCTGGGACAGGTTTTGATCAAGTCTCTGTGTGAGTGGACAAAACGTGAGGGTTAATGACAAACAACAAACGTGAAACTTACATTAGACAACACAGAGGAATACACAGGACACAGTTGTGCTTGTTAGTGCAGTGTTATTGGGTTTAAACATTGTCAACCAAAAGGCAACATCTAGGGAATGACACAAACACAGACGTCACTCAGGCAGCCGTAACCCCCGGGATATACAAAGCACCACCAGAAGACGATAAGGTTTCACCAGTACCTGCTCAATCGCTAAACTTGCGTCAAGTTTAGAGCGGTTGATCTCTGGCTTCATTCCCTGTTGTTGGTTTAGGGGAGGACGGTATAAGTCAGAAAACAACACAAGTATAAAAGGAAAACAGTCAACATGCAGACACATTCACTGGAGCTTTAGACACACTGGGAGCCAAGTTTGAACTGGTCTGGGTTTTTTTTTCAGTACACACTGGGAGCCAAGTTTGAACTGGTCTGTTTTGTTTTCCAGACACACTGGGAGACAAGTTTGAACTGGTCTGTTGTTGTTGTTTTTTCAGACACACTGGGAGCCAAGTTTGAACTGGTCTGTTTTTTACAGAAGGCTACAATGTAGGTGGGAGATCTTTACTGTCACATTAGCTTGCAGATTGTCAATCATAGTACTTTGGCAAGTTGAAGCCTCATTGCAATGAACTCAACAGAAACAAGACAAGATGTAAATGATACTTAAAATTCATGCCATTTTGCCAGGACTTGATTTTGCATCAGAAGGAAAAAGATTAAGGCTTTTGAAGTGTTTGAATTTTGCGATTGAAACAATATGCAAAATGCATCATAACTGTGATGTGATTTTGTGGTAAGAGGTGGTAAAATCATTGCAAACATTGAAAGATTAAAAGTATATTATAAAAAAACCAGAGGAAAATCAATTGTGACTTTTATAAATCAGCTTGGTGATAAGGTTTCAGTCAAATTTTCAGAGTCAACATGGATTGATCACCCTGGAGATTTTGAATTAAAGAAGTTGTGTGGAGCATACTGGTGTAACTAAACCATCGGCTGGGTTTTGAAACTGGAAAATAATGACCCTGACGTGCAGTGGAAATTATATGTTCTTTGATGAACAGCACCACTTTATGATTCTTGGCACCAAATGATGACATTCCGAGTGAAAATGTCTGCCAAAATAATATCATTATGATAGCAATAAAGCTGTTCAAGGACATCATATAGAATATCCTTGAGCTATTTATGAAAAAAGAAAAAATTATGTCTTGAATGAAAGGACAAGTGACATTTATGTGGGAGTGATACAGTACGTAATTAGTGGTGTTAATGTACAACACAGTGTGACTTTGTTCATTGTAAGGTTATAAAGATAGCAGATAGGAAAGAACTAGGAAACAGGTTACATGAGAAGAGAATACATACATATGTACATACATACATACAGGGAAACATGCACAACATGCACATCACATTGTCAACATGCACAGGACATGCACCAAAAAACAAGCAAGGACTCTACGAATCATTAAAAAAAAATCACCATGTTCGAAATATAGACAAGTTCTAGATTGATAAACTCTATGAGTATTGAAGCATTCTGGAACCCTTGTACCTTAGTGGTTTTTGTTAGTAAAGAAATTGACACTCAGTTAAGTATGTGGGCAAGCTTATTAGACTTCAACGCTAGTTGTAATGACTAGATTCGCTGATAATCAGATTCTCTAGTATTCTAATAGTTAATAATTCAGGAAGGACACTAGGGTAAACCCTGCAACAGAAGTGGTGACAAAAAAGGGTGACCGTGTGCATATATAACATTGAGAAAGATGCCTGACTTCACTACACAAACAAGTAATTCCTTAGAATAACAGATAGCATGGCTGCATGCAACTTGAGGGCAGAGTTGCTCCCTCGTCTCGAACTGATCACAAATGATCCATGTGTCATCAAAAAGCATGCCCGTAGCCAGGATTTTGAATGGGGGGGGGGGTTCCCACTGCTTGAGGGGACCTCGAGCGCCGTAGGAAGGCACGAGGTTCCTAGGGGGGTCCGGGGGCATGCCTCCCCTGGAAAATTTTGAAAAATGAACCTTCTAAAATGGCATTTCGTGCATTTTTGAGAGGATTTCCAAGAAAAAAATCAGAGATAAATTTTTATTCAATGACAAAGGCATAGGGAGCAGTTTTTCTACGATTCCAGTCCATCTTTTCAAGAAAAATCTTGGACCTTTACATAAAAGGTGGACCAAAAAGTGGACCTTTACATAAAAAGTGGACCAAAAAGTGGACATTTGAGCCTTTGAGCCTCCAAACCCCCCGAACCCCCCCTGGCTACGGGCATGAAAAGCAACTTCAATGTACACACCTCCTTTCTCTTGTAAGTCTTGTAAGGCCACACCAATTTAATTTGTTGGTTCTCGGATTTTTTCAGAAAAAATATGAAGCGACAGGGCGAAAAAAAATAAAAATAAAAACAGGTCTAGGCATCCTATTATAGCCCCAAAATGCTACAATATGAGCCATGAAGTCAACAAAAAAGGCTGGGTTAAAATTTAAAGTATAAATTTTGAACTTTTAATCAAACCACTGCATTGATAGATGGAAAAAACTGTAACAACTAGGAAGAAAAGGAATTTCCTCAACTGTTAGGGGGCAAAATATGAGCATTTTTGAGTTGATTCAGAACCGGTAATCTTTTTTTTTTTTTTTGCAAATCAGAAAAAAATGAAGAGGCGAATCCAAGAACCAACAAATTAAATTGGTGTGGCCTAAGATAAAAAAAAAAGCATAATATATAATGGCCATGCAAACTCTCTACTACTGGTCCTACCTCCAGTTGACCCTCCACTTTCAGCTTAGCTGCATTCAGCTCTTCCTGGTAAAGTTGGAAGTCGTGGCGAAGAGACTCCACCTGCTCGATGATGATGGGCTTGCCATCAGCTGATGTGTTATCCATGGTGACGTCGGCCTTCTCCGAGGTGTTGTTAATCTTGATCTCTCCCCTCTTCTTGGTCAGCAGGAGGAGCTGATTATGGAATATATGCAAATTAGAGATCAATTCATGATATCAGACATATGGAGCTGTCTTTTCTAGAAAAGGCTGCTGTAGGTCCTTGTTAGAGGTTGGTTCCATCATAGCCTGCTTACAAATTCTATTATATATATAATATAATATAATAACATTCGTATGATAACCTTTTACCTGTACTATGAGCAAGTTATTGTAAGTTTTATTTTAGGTCGCAGAGCTCGTTTCCTGCTCGCGCGTAGATCGCCCGAGCCTCGCACAATGTGACAGCGACGATTTTCAAGCCAAAAATACGTGCGATAATTGGTCGATCTCAAAATCAGCCGACCTTTCGGCGATCGACAAATACGGCCAAAGCTCGTCGACAATGTGACAGGGGCATAACCACTGGGCTATGCGCGCTTCTGTATTGATGTACAAACTAAATGATTCTAAATTTATAAACTAGGTCTCACATTGATGTTAGCATGATTCTCCTCCAGTTCCTTCCAGTCGGTTGTGGGTCGCTGAGCTTCCTTCAGCTTCTCCCGCTGCTGCCTCAGCCACTCGGAGGCTTCCTCGTACAGCTCATCATACTGGGCGTGGTCAGTCACATGCCCCTCGCACTTCTTTGTTATGTTCTATTGGTCAAGACAAGAAGCTCTATCATTCCTAGATGTAAATTATCCCTTATACAAGCCTCGAAATTAATTTTTCTTTTTATTGTCCCAGCACTGTCCCGAAAATAAATTTCAATTGTCCCGAAGTGAGGTTGAACTGACTGAACCTGTTTTTTGGGAAGTATGTATGACAACAACTTGAAGTCAACTTTATTTTGCTTAATATGTTCTGACTCCTGGGAGCGCTATAATTGCAAAGTAGACAAGAAATTTTTTTTTGGGGGGGGGGGGCATTTCCAAGCAAAAAGCCAGGACTCGTTCCTGATGGACAAATTAAAAAGTAGAGCTAACATTCTGATATTGATTATTTTTCTATTGTCCCACAAATGTCCGAAAGTCACTTTTCAGTTGCCCCAGCCTAAATTTTAGTGGTCAGTGGCCATCGGGATACTGTTAATTTTTGTTTTTGTTTTATATATGGTGCACCCAAAAATTTTTTGTGCACCTTATATTTTAGGTCCTATTCCCAAAAAAGTATTTCGAGCCTTGCCAACAATTAGATGCAGATAGAAGTACATGTATGATCATACTAACGTCACATTCTATCTTCAGAGCGCTGTAGCGGGCATTGATCTGTTCCAGCTGCCTGACAATCTCTGGGTTTTGGCTGAGGTTCACTTCCCTGGCCTTGGAGTTCACTTCATCAAATTTCCAGCGGTGAGAAGCAATCTCATTGGAGAAACTCTGCAGGAAAAAAGTTAAAGTTGAGGAGTGAAGTTTTCTCACCATTCTGCACCAAACACTGGAACTAACATCCAAAAAGGTCCAGTACGATTTGATTTTTGTATGAAGTGCTCTTAACTGGAGTCAATAGAAGTTGTCAAACCTCAAACTTGTCTCTTTGCGCTTTCTTGCTATAGATGTCCATCTGCAGGTCGTACTGGGCACTCAGCAAGCGTTCTTCCTTGTCCAGCCACTTCTGCAGAGGATCCAAGTTGCGACGGCCGAAGTCCTACAATCATAATTATAATTATAATATTATGACACATGTCAATATTGCTATCATGTATATGACAACAAGTCTTGATGTTACATAACAGCAGAGAAAAAAATGATTCCAGTATTGACATGGTTGCATTTGTTGTAAGTTGTCGTAAAATTTTGATGCCACAGAATTTTAAAGCAGGCTGTAAAAGAACCAACAGCCAACATCATTATTAAAAACAACTTTTTCTGTACATCCATCATCTCAAGAATGTCTTTAGTTTGCAGTCCTATTGTAAGAAACAGGAGGAGCCGATAAAAACCCTTCTGCTCCCGGGCCAGGGTTCGAACCCACGACCTCCCGGGCACCAGAGCTTCATAACCAGACGCCCTAATTAACCGCTCGGCCAAAAAGGTCTAGACCCGTTTGCCGGATCAGTTGGTAACGCCTATAAATCCCCCCCCCCCATGTTACACTACTCCCCCTTTTCTTTTCAAGATTCGTCCTCGAATCTTCCGAATTCGAC